GATGTGCTACCCCGAGTCACGGAAGTGCAGCCACTGCCATGTGACGGTTTTTACACACTTTTGGTGATACTCACTGAACATGTTGGCAAAGTACCACGCCCACGCCGCTATATCTCAAAACACATCTGCCTATCAAGCTGACGAGGACTGCCCAAAATGCGCCATCTGAGAAACATCCTTTGCATACGCAATTAGCCTCCGGCAAGTAACTACTACTATGTATACGTTATCAGAAAACATCAACGCTTCCCATTCAGTTGGCTTCGCTTTCTTCGGGCTACACACGCGGGCTAGAATGGGGTCTGTTCAACATGCACGGCACGTACGCTCAACGAGTTTGAGAAACATCTGTATTCATCAATGTGATATTTTCCATCATGGTTTTAAAAACAAGAAATACATACTCGCTTGCGAAAATCACTAGTGTGCCAGGTGCATCAATACTTGGCTTCATCATCTTCAGACAGATGGGCAAGCGGGCGGTTGTCTGGTGACTCTACAATTCTAGTAAGGCCTGCGAATGGGTTTCCACCTTGTGTCCAGTTGATTCAACTCAATTATCCCCTCTTGGACTGAAAACAGAACAGTACAAATGTACTGGAGGCTGAAATTCCGTTACCTTTGTTTTACGCTATGGCTACAGATATGATATAGCAACACACCGCGTCTGCATTGGACTCACCCCTCTCTCTTCTTAGCCGAATGACAATTAGTTCTACAACCTGTTCAAGACGCTAGCCCTCCCTCACCATCGGTTATCAATTCGATGTCAAACAAGCAGATTCACTGGTTCATCTGCGTCACACAGAAGCAATCCCCTTATTACCTATGCGAGTACATCATGTTCGGGCCAGATATTGTTCGATAGGAGGATCAATGATAATATCCACAATTGGCTTTGAGGCCTTTCAAGTCCATTTCTGAGATACATCATAGCATGAAGGAAACACACCACACCTATGAACAACCTTAGTTAATGAATTATTGAAAGACACAGTCAGTCCCTTCACGGCGAGTAAAATCAGCTTGGCACACCAGGATCAAGTCTTGTCTTTCAACACCAAGCCTAACTACTAATCCATTGCATCACAGCCGTCTATGGCTCGCTATAGTTAGACAGTACACAAGCACAGACTCTGCTGTAGGTACGTACTATAATGGGGATCGGCAGCACACGCTACGCCAACTCAAAACTGAGCGTAAAAGAGTTCGAAAGTTACCGTACGATGGCAAGGGTGAGAGGATGGAGGGGTCCAAACCCGCTACGGATCAGCACAGCATCTAGGTATCGCCAAGGAAGCGAAAAAGAACAATTCGCCATAACAACACCTAGCTACTGATGATCAACTTGCTCAGGTTAGCCTTATTGATGGACTTGACATCAACTTAGGTTTCGGATAAAACTACTATATGATGGCATGTCTCAGGGAATACCACGCGATACCTACATGCATTGCAAGACTCTAGCTTCACTTAAGTTGATGGACAACCACAACTGGGTGTGTGAAAAAGCGGCTCTTTGACCGAAGCAACAATTTGTTCAGTTCGGGGACGATCAGACCCAGGGACCTTACACCTGGGATGCGTTGCCCTTGCGCTAGACTATATGGAGTATAGATGTAGTGCCTGAAGCCACTTGGAAAACCCGCTGCCATGGGTTCAGCACAAATCAGCATGGGTAAGGTACGGAGAGTTAACTACAGAAGGACGACCCATTCGATATGGATACATCGAACCGGGGTGCAAGACTTCTATTACCGACACAAACAGGCATTCCAACGTCCAAATTCTCATCTGCTGCTGGATTTAATTTACAAATACTCGACTCGAAAGGACAGAACCAATGAGAATGCATTACTTCAAGTACAGGGCCTGTTAGCATGAGAATAACCATGAATGATGAGCAAGTCGGTTTTGGTGTAGAGTTGCAAAATATCCGTACTGTTGCGCCTTTTACACCCACTGCTCAGCCTACTATATAACCCATGCAGCACCTGGTCACCCATGTATGTAGGTCAGCAAGTGGAATTCGCCTCAGAAGGCCGTAACGGTGCAGACGACCCCGGCCTGGCCGGGTGGAATGAGCACCATCTTGTACAGCACTGGCCCCCGACGTAGAGTTGTGATCATGCAAGTGTCTTTATTGAGACGATGACCTGCGCACAGTCATTGATTATGCTATTGTTCTTCATGACTCGCCAGCATAGATTGTGCCTAGGATATGGACATCCGGTCTCGAGCAATTTGATACTCATACACACAACATCTGTTTTCCCGTACGTATCAATGAATCTGGAACGAGGTAAAAGACGCCTCATCGTTTACTCCAAGATCCTTGACCTATGGTTCCACCTTACTGGCCGAAGCAACATCGACTCGATTTTCGTACGCATGGGCAGTGATTGTCAGCGGGGCTATATTTGGCGGTGGTCCATGGTATGCCATGAGTTACGGCAATAGACATTAGGCTGGTCAGGGTTTTCTTCTGGAGATTTGCGGCTTGACGCCGGAACCTTGAACAGCCAAGGAACCGAGTCTGCCTGGCGACAGTATGTTCTTGCTTTTGCGAGATTGCAAGTCTTGATTGGATACAAGGATGCCAGCTCACAACATCATTATCATCAACTACTACCAGCGTGAAACAGTCTACTTATTCATATCAGTCAGCGAATATGTCTCCATGGCCAATTTAACAATACTGATTTGGCGCAACCCTCAGCATCAAAGCTTGCCTCATTACAACGGACGCTACTTGTGGTACCAATGACCAGGAAAGATCATGTGCATATTCTCAAATGGTTCTTTTTGTTGGGAGATAAAACTCGACCGCACTGGGAGAGAATTAATCAGTGCAAATTAACAAATTTTACAGTACGCACTACTACCACATAGGGCCTTGAGACATTTTTACTTTTGGATCGTCAGTCACCAGCGCTACCTGACATTCTTTCAAAACGTGTGCATGGTCAACGCCCTGCGGCGTAGCTTTGACAGCTATGCTACTCTACTGTATCCAAAGGTATGCCACAGGTGAAGCCCCCCGGTGGCCGGGGGCGTCTCCAGCTGCCGCCCGCTCCTCCGTCCGAAAGCTCCATACATACCGATCGGGCATGTCCAGAGCGGGTCAGAGTTCAGCCATTTGCCCAAGACCTTTGGCCGCCCGAGTCCGCACCACTCGGGAGGTTAGTTGATCGACACCCTGTGAGCTAACACGACACCGTGCTGTCGCGGCAGTTGATGGCTGTGACTGGGCTCTTCTTTGGCGACTGGGGCTGGAAATACTCCCTCAACAAGAGTGATCACCCCCCCCCCCCCCCCCCCCCCCCCCCCCCCCTTTTCTTTCCTTAGCACTGGCACAGACTTCTGTGTGCATGGGTTTCGAGACGCTCACAGGGCAGGCCCGCGTCATTCACGAAGCAAGCACTCAATGAAATCACTCATTTGTCTTGTCTTGTCTCGAGTTTGATGGCTCAATTTTCACTCCTTGCTCTGATGAGAAGAAACCCCACATGCCAGATAGGAGCTAGATACGTACCTACAGCATGTACGCTCCCCTTGATCAATTGTCAATCACTGTTCGGTATCACCTACCTTAGCAGTTACTGTAGTTCCAATAGTACATGGTGTTTAGAATACCCCGCCTGCCCGCCAACATTGGACTGGCATTGCTTGTTGTTATTTGTTGTTAATTTGGTGCCAATACAAACGATACAGGCTACCCCTTTGTCTTGCCACTGGACCTGAAGGGCGTTGCCCTTGATCTTCAACTCAAAATGATCCGATGTTCATATCAGGCCTAGGATAGCTTAGGGATAGCTCCAAGGCGGCACTGCCCGTATTCATGTGCCTTCATGACGGCTTAGTACCGCAATAGATGCACCTATAAACACACAGTTGGGTTGTTGATGAGCTTGTTATTGCTGCTGCTGCTGCTGACCTCCCTTGTTTCTTCGTCTCCCGTCCCGTCTCATCTGACACGTCTCGCATCTTGTCCCTTGTCTTCGGGTGTCACGATGGTACGTAGATTCTGCTAGGCCGAATGAAACCACTTGCCCAAAGCAAGTCAGGACAAGTTAGTAGCGTATCAGCCACTCACGGCACATGGATCTTGGCTTGCGTTTCGGGGCTTTTGAGTCCTCATCAACTCTGCATCGCATGACGATGCTGTCGAGCGGCTCGCTTGCCCCCCTAGCTGCTCTTACAAAGGTGCGTTAGCACTAGCGTAGACGGTTGGCCACTGCCCTGGTACCATGCATGGTACAGTAGCTTTTGGCTCATCAGATATTATCGACCATAGCGATTTCGCTCAACTGTGCTTCTGGACTAATCGTTGTCTTCATGCAGTAGCCCCGGCGCATCCGCGTGGTTAATGGTCGTGTCCTGTCGCTTGTATCTTGTATCTTGTGTCTTGCAGGCAGGCAGGCAGGCAGCTACCTAAGCAGAGTCTCCCGGTCTCCCTTCTTGCATCCACCTGCACCACATCGACACCTGGGAGTTAAGACAAGACAAACAGGTTGAGTCGTCGGTTAAGCAGGACGCCTCCATTTTACGTCTGACCTTATTAGCTAGAGTACGTATCCGTACACTATTGCAATAGTTTGAGAGCAGTCGGACGCTTTCTATTCACCAATTTTCACCGCCTTTCTTCCCTGGTTCTGTCTGTCCCCTCCTTTTCCTTCCTCCACTGTTGGGCCCTTTCTGGGCCAAGGATCAGTCTCTCTTTTTCCCACTTAATCTCTCACGATCAGTTTGAGGACATTATCAGCCGCTTTAAGCCATCAGTGGACAGCCCAACCTATGGTCTTGGATTTGCTGTGTGCATTCTGCTATGTACACTCTACTGTGTCTTATGCTGGTTTAGCGTTCTCGACTTTCCCTTGGCCTTCCGGCGTCCGACCCTTGCACCAAGAAGTCTGACCTCTACCTGTAAAGTGTGTCTGGGTCGTCAAGCAGTAGCATCATGTCGATGCTGGGACCACCATAGCCAAGCACCCAGGCATTCAACCGCTCTCAGTCAGTATCCCCAACATATCAACGCCGAGCCCGTCGAACCCCTCCCGTTGGACTTTGAGTGTGGCCAGTTGGACGGCGAAACTCAGCTTCTTCCCCGTGCTCCAGTCGCCAGGGTGGCATATCAACCCGTACAGCATGCCGGCTATGAATGTGTCCCCTGCTCCTACGGCACTATATCTCGAACAGTGGTCAGTTCGTGCAGTTCTACGCGACTTGTGTTATGCGTCGTGTTGTGTTGTGATGTGGGACATGGAGAAGGACGTACTCAGCCACGGAAATATCTCCTCCGGATTCGCTCTGGACAGGGCAGGGGCAGCGCAGAGTCTCGCCTGTCGACCGAGGCAGTCCAGCAGCTCCATCTTCACCCCACGTACAAACTGCCAGTGACCTATGTATGCATAGTCTCGTCAGCCAACAAACCCAAGCCCGCACAAGCGCAAGCAAGAAAGACTATTGTCATTCTTGCCATGGTACATACGTACGCCTTATGGTGTCCTTCGGCTTTCAGGCATTCTTCCGGGGTCCTGTGTCCACGACTCTGTGCCCTTGTTAGATCATATCAACCACGACAGCCCAATGTCTCTTGAGTCCACTCTCACCTCAGCCCAGCTTCGCGAATAGAAGACAACGTCCGCCTCTGCCGCCAATTCTGATAGACCTTCTCTGCCAGGCTTCTCGACTTCGACGCTGATAGTCGCTTTCGGTAGTAGGTTACGCAGCAGACGGATGCAGTTTTGCACGGTTTCTGGGATTCGGCCCTGTTGCGTCCACGTTTAGTCTGGCGTCCATATCCAAAGGCCGCTGCTTGAATCCTACCTCAAAGTGCCACCATGTCTCCTGGTCAGCTCCGAAACTTTGCGCGATGTTGCCAAACTCGTCTTCGGTCATCTCTGGAAGGTCGTTGTAATTGACGAGCGTGCGGCTGCCTGAGGCTTCACTGCGAATGATGTAACTGCTTGCCGCCTCGGTGCTCTCATGACGGTATAGACAATGGCTAAAGTCAATCTTTGACTGCGGACCAAAGGACGATACAACACGCTTTGTTGCAGACGATGAGACGTCGGGCAGAGGTGACACTAGATGCAGCTGGAGATCATCATATTCTGCGAGTAGCTGCTCCAGTACTTGAAGCGAATTTGGACAGTTACCCCCACGTCGGATATTGAGACTGGTGGCACGTAGCTTTGCGTCCTCGGGCGGGAAAAAAGGTACACTGAAGGTAAGTTAGTAGATGACATGCATGTGAAATTGATGTTGACATTCTTGAGGATTGTGTCCAAGTAGCAAGCACCCACAACAATAAGGTGCTTCATACTGTCTTGCCTCGTCTTGTCTCGACTGTCGTACCAAACGTATACTGGGACCTTGTATCAATCAGCCTATATTGCGTGTTTGCTTACACGCGATGCTGTTCTGTCGCTTGTTGTTGACGATATGCCGTCTTCACCTTTATCAAGTGTTTGCAGACGATGGCAAGTAGCCTAGTCCCTAAACGCTCTTTGGGGGGGTTCTCCGCCGACGTAACTAAGTTCCACCGATATTTCGTCACTGTTTTGCAGTCTTTATCGTTGACGGCAAATTTCTGTTGTATTATACAGCTCTGAGAGGATGAGAGCTGTATCATGCAACCAGCTTTAAATATGGGCTATTTGTTCCTGTTAAGTCACCGTAGAAAATATAGCATGTACCATGTGTAGATACGTGTATTGCAAGGTGATATGTTATGTTTAGTACCTGATGTTCAATGGAATGATCATTTCTAAACTTCACCAATATACAGTCGGACAAATACCTAACCTCGATCAATTTTGGATCACTAGACTAATTCTATCTCCCGTTTGATACTGAAGGAGCACATGACTACAATTACTTGATCATTGTGTCGAGTGGAGGGGGGAACGACCTATAGTGTAGGTCATTTCGAGGTATAGGGTAGTTCGCTGTCGATAGGTATGAACGATTTCGTAAACAAGGCATGCCATATCCTGACTTTGACATTTATAATGGATGTTTACTACTTCATTCTTTACATTGTAGTGTACTCAATGCTGAATCATGCAAATTGCTGCATCAACCCAAAACGTTAGATCGTGTTGATCATATCAAGTGGCTTATTGAGTAAGTATCAGTAAGCCAACAAATTTTACTAAGTCATCTCATGTCAATTGACTCATCTAAAGTCGGCCGATTCGATAGACGTAACATATGTATATATATATATATATATCTAGATTGAGTCTACGTTTGTCGTGTATTTGTTAGATGTGTGTTTAGTCCGTCATGATCAGATCCCTGAATTTCTGGCATTGATTTATACAAGAAGTCTTTCGGAGCCATTGATGCTGAAATAATATCCACAAATTTCTTAGGCAATACAGATTTAGCATCAATACGGTCGTTCACAGTCACGAGATCGTCAGATTCAGCATCATACCATCAAACTCGCTTGTAAGAGGTACCTACAGGTAGAGGTAGAGAGGTAGGCTTGAACCAGTGGGCCCATCTGCCCCGCCATTGAGCCCTGGAAGACAACGTCATCAGCCCCGGCTAGCAACATAGGACAAGAATCGAACAGAGCCATCCATCGCACCATTTTTGTGTATAATACAAAGTTAAACTCCAAGATGGGTGATAATTCAGGAAAGCACATACACTTTCAAGACGGCGATTATGGCTCTGATGGATATTCGGACGATGATGCCAAAGCAGTGGAGGTATGCTTGACCACCTACTAATACTGGCTGGCACCTTTGCGCCGATACCAATACGATATACACGAATGGCGCGACTAATACAGTAGTACTATACAGGTCGTATTCGACCCAGGAAATCCATATCGTCGCAAGAGCTCCATGGTAGCCTCGGAGATTAAAGCCCCTGTGATGCGCCACCCTACTCGTCGCGACGAGTGCCTCGTTCACCAATTCCTTGATAGCCAACGACGCGCCAAAGACGCTGCCTGCTCAGCGAGCGATCTCGACTCGGAAACCTCAATGGGAAATGGCTCCTCGTACGTGAGCAGTCGCCCAGATCCCAGTCACGCCAATCTTCACAAGACTCTCAATGGCGACAGTGTTGAAGCCGTTCGCGACGAGGGCCTTGACTCGATCGTCGACCCGAAGGTTAAGAAGTGTCGTGCTGTCGTAGAGCCCGGTAGTATGGATCACTCTGGTCAAGCTGATCAGCAGGCCTGGACTCAGCAGATGACCAAGAGCATGTCTGAGTTTGACCTGGGAGGTTACCAAGAAGATGTGCGAAGTCGTCTGCTCACAAAGCAGCAGCTCAGCGACATGGCATGGGGTGTGAGAGAACTAAGCCGCCGGCTAAGCAGCATGCGCCTTCGATTCAAGGTCAAGAGCATCTTCATCCTGACAAAGATTTATGACCAAGACTTGATTCCTAAGACACGAGAACTGGTGAAATGGCTACTAAATCATAACCACGAGGTCGCCTACACGGTCTACGTTCAAGACAAGCTCAAGACGAACAAGAAGTTTGACGTCAGCGGAATTGTTGACGAGGTAAGCAAGGGATACGTCCAAAAGGACGGCGCAGACGAGCAAACGGTAAAAGGCACACTCAACAAAAGGTTGCGGTACTGGGATGAGAACATGTGTCGAGCACGGCCCCATACCTTTGACTTTGTAATCTCACTTGGTGGTGATGGTACAGTACTATACGCCAGCTGGCTGTTCCAGCGCATTGTGCCACCTGTGCTGAGCTTTGCACTGGGAAGCCTGGGTTTCCTGACCAAGTTCGATTTTGAGGAATACCAAGAAACACTCACAACTGCGTTCACCAAGGGCGTCACCGTGAGTTTGAGGCTACGCTTCGAAGGCACCGTTATGAGGAGTCAACCGCGCAAGAAATCACAGCTTGATAAGGGTTCCGATGAGGACGAGGAACAGCCACGAGATTTGGTAGAGGAGCTGATTGGCGAGGAGAGGGAAGACGAGCATACACATCGACCGGATGGGACGTTTGAGATTCTGAATGAGGTCGTGGTGGATCGAGGACCAAATCCAAGTAAGAACCCCAGAATCGACGTTGCCCCTGCAGGAGATGTTCTAACGTTTGTCATAGCCTTGTCAACTACCGAGATTTTTGGAGACGACGAACATTTTACCTCGGTGTTGGCTGACGGCATCTGTGTGTCAACACCAACTGGTTCAACGGCTTACAACCTCGCTGCTGGTGGTTCTCTGTGTCACCCAGAAAATCCCGTGATGCTGGTGACGTCCATCTGTGCGCACACACTATCCTTCCGACCCATCATTCTACCCGACACGATCGTGCTGCGAGTTGGTGTTCCGTACGGAGCGCGGACATCTTCATGGGCAAGCTTCGACGGCCGAGAGCGTGTAGAGCTCCAACCAGGAGATTACGTGACCATCAGTGCGAGTAGATTCCCGTTTGCTTCAGTACAGGCTGAGGGACGGAGGAGTGAGGATTGGGTTAATAGTATTAGTGGGAAACTCGGCTGGAATACGCGACAGAAGCAGAAGAGTTATAAAGAGTGGGAGAAATGAGATGGCACTTATACATGGATATAAAGATGTAAATTAACGATGGGACGGGATACTATTCGTGTAACAGACCGACAGGACAGGTGGTGTTTTGGTAAAGATTATTAGTGCTGGCGTTCTTGCTTCAATGAACGAGATAAGGAAACAATGCATCTACCTCTGGTCTTGAAGTCTTGTTGATCTTTTCCAGGGTCTTGGGTCGCTGAGAAGATATATTGGGTTTAAGTGGCTGTTAATGCTACTCTACTCCACAATAGCTGGCTATTCCTTGACATTGAAGATCGCGTTTAATCAGCCCACCAAATTCAACTGCCGGAGCATCTGACACCGCTTCTCGTTGACACAAGTCCAATTGCGTCTCCAGCATCAACTCAATTGAAGCCGCAACATCTTAGCCAAGCTCTATATCAACCGATTGAGGCAAAATACCATCAGAGCATATCACAATGGCAACAGAAACCGCATCGTCTCTTCCACCCGACCTGTTCGACCAAACCACAATCATCTCTCTCCTATCGACCCTCGCCATCGTCTTTGCCGCATACGTCGCCTCCCTCAAGTTCCTACCATCTTCATCCTCGGGAACCCTTCGCTTCTTGTTCATCTGGCATCTCGCCGACGCGCTGTGTCATTTCCTCCTCGAGGGAAGCTTCTTGTACCACTGCTTTTTCTCGCACCTGCCACTCCTCAACGATGTAAAGACGGACCTCTTCCCTACGCCCGCCGGGTTTCTAGGATACAGCGATCGCGTATATGGTGCCCAGTCGGGCGGAGATAATCCGTTTGCTATGCTGTGGATGGTGTATGCCAAGGCGGATAAGAGATGGGCTGGCGTGGACTTGGCGGTCGTGAGTTTGGAGTTGTTGACGGTGTTCTTTGACGGTCCCCTGGCCATCTACGTGTGCTATTGTCTTGCCAAGAAAGACCCCAAGGTCAGCATCTGGATGATCATCCTAGCTACTTGCGAGTTATACGGTGGTAAGTAGTATCAGCAATCATGCACGTGGCGGACCAAGTTGTGCTAACAGACATAACCGCAGGCTTTATGACTTTCTGCCCTGAGTGGCTTGTTGGGAGCCCCAACCTTGACACGAGCAACTTTATGTACCTCTGGGTTTACCTGTTTTTCTTTAATACTTTATGGGTTTGGATCCCACTCTGGATCATCTGGTACTCGGTCAAGGATATTTCGAATGCTTTGAGCGTGCGTCAAGGGAAGAAGAATTTGTAAAGCAAGGAGCGAAACATGATCTGGCCAACATCGCCCATCAGGGTTGTCGAGACTTACCTATCTGGTAAAATGATCAAGACGGATAACGATCCTTAAACAGTGTCTTAATATCTTAGAAAAAATGTACCCTGGAATAAGAGACTTCCTACAATGTTCAATTTATTCAAACAATATTAATTTGTTTCTGGTAGTATCTGAGTTGTCATCCCTCAAGCTGACTGAGTGAATCATGCATCACGTGGTCTAACACGTGCCAACCTGGTGTAAGTCAACGACATTAACAATCTTCACATCACGATGAAAACGGATCTCGTCTGGTGTTTATATAGATGGATTGAAGAGCTAATAAATTGGGGTATCTGATTGCTCAATATTGATGGCACTGCAACTCTCATAAATGATAGACAGTCCATTTCCTCCTTTCGAATCATTCCATCGTGTCATTTCTCATTTAATACTTGAGAGTATTTAAGGGTTCTGCTTGTAGGCCTCGCCCTTGGCGCCGTGGGTGGACTCGTCAATCTGTGAGATTGTCAGCAAGTTGCTCCTCTTAATGGTTCATCTCAACCCTCTACTGAGCGTCTGTTCAAGACTCGAAGGAGCTCATTTCAGGTTGATTTGGTTTGGTTTTGCGTACCTTGTCAGAAGCAGCGTCCTTGGCAGCGGAGGCACGAGTGCCAATGCCGGCGTTGGAGTCCTTGGCGACCTGCTTGTTGGCCTCCTTGCTGGTGCCGGAGAGACCCTCCTGGACCTTCTCTATAGTGGTTGTCAATAAATGTCGTACATTCTCAAAGTTGAGATTTTCTTACCGGTAGCCTGGTTGACGGTGTTCTTGATGGTATCCATGGTTTAAGATGAAAGGTGTTTGTGTATTGTGGATGATTGAGTTGTTGAAGTAGAGTGTGATGATGAGGGAAGAGAAAGGCTGGAGTTGGAGAGAGGGAAGGAGGGTTTATATAGAGTATTGAGTGGCATTCATTGACAGTGACAGTCCAGACAAACAAGAAAGCTGCTTGTCATCAAGATTGTCTGTCTATCCAGGTTTGGTGGATTGCCGTACCGTATCCGTACATGTCGTGTTAGAGCCTCTGACCAGTACAGAAAGGTTATCATGTGAAGAATTGATATGTCGTCATAGACTAATATGCTGTAGACAAGTCCTATGTTACATACAATGTTTTACCTACTACTGGGATTGCACCCCAGTATACTCGGGCTCACTTGAGCCAGTTGGAAACGAGATAGCAATGATGGTTGCTCAGGAGAGTTGCCTGACGTCAATTTGTCACTTGAACGTCATCTCGATGAGAGTCTGGCTGGGGCCTAGGCTTGTGTTGTTTGGTGGGGGTCAGAAAAAAAGGGTACTGATACAGACAGACAGACAAAGACAAAGCTGTATCAAGCTTGAACGCGCCTTGCGCGTCGCGGGGTACCTGATTTGGAAGCTCAGTAACCCCGCTGCACTGAGAACAAACATACGTAAGATCTGTGTATTCTAGATTTATGACACATGATCGACCTTGTGTCCCTTGCAGGTTTGGTTTACGGTACTCTATGTTTGATTTTTTAGCATAGGTATATCTACTGGTTGACGTGAACATGTCATGGGCATGACATGAACTGAAGGTCTGATTGGGGAAATGTAGTGAATGGATCAGCCTCAGGCAGATCTGTCAAGTTCCCGTGAAGCATAAAAAGCGCCACAGTCAGCGGGGTAAATTATGGGCCTGTGGCGGTGACGTGTCGACTTTCCCTCTGTTGAACTGATTCCATGACCTCAGTCTTTGATCATTGTTTCTGTCCTCCTCCCAACCTGGCCATTTTATTACTCCTACTATTGACCGAGACCGACTATTTGCCCTAACGTGGGTAAATTTGCATACTGCTTTATTCCCAACCTGTTTACCTGAAAGGAAATAAAATGCAAGCATTGATTGGTTTCCCCCACTATTTGGGATGCTGACCATCGAGATCTCTCCCCTCGTGGCCCGTACTGACGGAGCAATATGTCCGCTATTCCCTATAAACCAGGCTCCTTCATTTGCGATACTTGTTTTCTGGTGCCACCACCGCCTCTCTTTGTGGATGCTAATGTTGCTGCGGAGTGGCTTGCTTGCTAGCACAGCTCAACAGCTTCAAGAGCTTGTTCAAGGGAGCCAGGGAGCTCCCCAGATGGACCCGCTTAAGCTCTTATTATGACGTCCCGGCTTATCTCTTGATTTGAAGCTTATCCTTATCTCTTAAATGATTTCCAAGGTACACCTGTGTACAGAGAGTGTCATGGCAGAACTTGACATCATGGCAAGAAAAGCCATTCGCTCACATGCTGGAAATCACTTCTCCATGATTACCATATCCACATTATGCCAAGTTACGTTGTCAATCTGTCTCATTTTACTAAGTCTACTTTGCAGATCAGATTGGTCTAGATTGCGCAACCCGCCCTCGACTTGTACGTGCATTCCTAGCTAAACCGAGGCTACCTGCTTTGAGCAGAGAGTACAGCACATCGCAGACGTCTTTATCCCCGTCGGAATACGTCCGTAGCTCCCGCTTGGCTGTGCCATCGGAATCTCCAAGCTCGACAAGCTTAGTCTTGTTCGTGATTGTCTCGATCGATTGCACTCAACAAGCTTTCGGGTACCTTTGTATCCATCCATGTGCCAATCTGTATACGTACTCGAATGGTATGTTTCGCCATCGGCAATCGGGACAAGGCAATATCATCTTTGGAGTACATGCAAATCGTGTGATCATTGTAGTACCTCGTATCCAAGGCATCATGATATTGGCTTAAGCATAGCCTGCGACGGGTCTGGATACGCGCAGGAGTTAGGCATCTTGGCGAATCAACAGCTGCCAGTTCAGAAACCAGGAACCTTTGCTTTCTTGAGATGAGACGTTAACATGGCATCTAATGGAATGGAGATCAAGTCCTGTTTCTTCCGCTTTAATCTAATTCGGTCTCTTAACCACTGTGCATAATGTTATCGAAACCGGCTGGCCAGGCACTGTCGGAGGTCAGATTGGGCTATGTAAACACCCATCTGAATGAGCTTGGGATGATGCTGAAGATATCGATAAAACGAATGGCCATGGCTGTATACAAACCGCAGTGATGCGACCAGATCCATCGCAGCGCATCTCGTATAAAGAAACAACTTGTATGCCTCGTTGCATTAGTTGAATACCTACAGATCGTCACGACAAACAACGAGGTCGGTTTCTAGCCATCTCCCTACAACCATCCTCCTTTTCGTGGAAAATTTGCTTGAAACGGATCACTAGAACTTATGTAAGCGAAGTTTCCAAACAAACAGTCATGGCCTGATGAGAAAGTTGAAACGTGAAACATGCACCGTTAAGGTGTGGACTTTCGACCTGAGAATTTGCATGTATCATATGCGAGTATCATAATTTATAGAATCAAATATCTCGGCCCCATAGTCTCAACCGAGTAGTATCCATTTATCTCAGAGTGCAACGTCGTAATTGGCCCTAAGCACCGTCTGCCGAGGGACAATTGCATCCTGTGACCTTCTTTAGGACTCGGTAATGACCTGAGATCTGTAGCACCCTGCTTCGATATAGGTACAATAATCATATTCTCCCAAGAAGTGAACTTCAACGAACAAAGAATGTACGGGGTTTGTCATGAGACTCGGTTGGTGACTATGAGTGCAACTAAGAGTTCGATTATGCCCGGCTTGAATCAGTGTAATACATAGGCCGAGGTGAAATGGGGGAACCGTTGGTTAAGTGAGGGGCTGACCGCCACTGGAAAGACATAGCCCCATCTTTCCTAATGTGTTCTATCGGTGTATAAGAAGTGACAAGTACATAGGCATTGTAGAACGTGAGGCTCAAGTTCACCTGACTAAAATTTGAAGAAAATTTAACTCCATGATACAGGCTGAAGTGGTTTATCTACTTGGTGGCATACCGGGTATGATCTTAGACCACTTGCCTTCAGCATCACAAGTTGAGGTCTGAAATATTGTGCTGTACCCTAGGTCTGTTATTGAGATGACAGTTTTGGTTAGAGGAAATCCTTCCATGAATGCGAGAACTATTTTACATGTATATGAGGATAGCGCTTGTTGAGTGTACGCGCATATTTATTTCTTAATGGCCAAATAGATCGTGATTGCAGGAAAACGAAAGACAGAGAAGTAGTAAGAAGAGGAAAGTCTATGATGAGGTTAAGGCTGGGGTATGTAGTTGGCATTCCGTACCTACCTAGGTAGGTAGGTAGTAGGCATGTGAGTTTAGACAGCAAGTACAATTAGCTTAATAGTAGGTAGTTGATGTATCGAACGAAGGAAACTGCTTCTGTTTGAAGTTCTAGAAGGGAAGAAGGAGAAAAGTCTTTGTAAGACAAGACAGGATGTCAGAAACAGCAATCCCAGCAACGGCAACTTCTATCACGATCGAGTGGGTGCTTCAACCTGTACAACACTTCATAGTCAACAGGGTCCTAATAGGTTGCAGTATTCAGAGCTGAAAGTAGGTTGGGAGCCATGATTAGAGGAGTAGACGAGGAAATGAGGTTGTTGGCGGGCGATTGCCCATTCAAAGCGCTTGACTTTTGGGCGACAGTGTATGCCACGGCACTACATCGTATTTGCCAACATAATAGTTGTAACTTGCAGCTGCCAATTACTACGTCGACTTGGGAATGATTGCGTATTTCACTTCTGAAAACTAATGCATGTATTATCTCCATGATCTTACTCATTCTATTAGCAAACGTGCCTCTATCGAATGCTGCTAGATACCAAGTACCAAGCCACTAGACCTGTGCGGCTAGATCATTAACCAGTGGACATATTATTTACTTCTTCTATAGTATTCGCAATGCAGGAAGAAAGGGGTATAGGTTATTCTCTATTCCTGATCTATCAAATTAACAAGAGCATGTAGTCAGACAGTTTCAGAGAGAGGCTCAGAAAGTTGACAAGTCAAATCGAGTAACTTCAAAATTACAAACGTTCAACAATCCGACTGGTTACCTAGTGCATAAAGCATAGGGATCTAGTACGAAGGATCAGAAAGAGTGTCAAATATTAGCGATCGAATGTCTCCGAGACGTTTGCTTTGACGTTGAGCCTACCAAAGATCGATTGGCTTGCGAGTATGTATGCTGAAGTTTTTGGACAACATAGGCGATTGGTACTTTGAGTATGTTGATCTGTTTGAGTCTTGAACCCCCCGCTCTTCTATCATTTATCTCAAGAAAGGGATCATTGCTGTGGGGGTGAATTCAACTACAGGCACAGCATCCGCCTGTTTCTTGTTGTTTTTAAAGGCGGAGAACAGTGTGATGGTTGCGCAGCCACAACTGACCATAATTACTGTCGATATGTGACGGTATCTAGCCTTAAAAGGGTCTCTGGGTCTGTGCCTAGCCTGGGCACTGCTCTTGCTTCAGTCTGTGTGTCATGAATATCAAGGTATCTATGAGCATGAAACAATCCCGTCAACTAGCCGACCACTACCGTTACCATGACAGATGCGAAATGCCAAGCTATGTTCTGTATGAACGGCACTTAACCTGAAGCCGGGAGAGGCTAGGCATTGATCAGTATTGAGCATCGATCTACAGCTTATAGGGTAACAATCACACCGGAGTTATCCCAGTCCGACACAATATCAGATATCAAGGGACGGATTGGATATGCACATGACACAAGTGGGAATCAAATAGACTTCAAGATAAACTTGAACGAATCAGTTGGTTGAACCAAGTCTTGGGTTTCTTCTGCTGTCAAATTACTCCATGATCGGAGAAAACCACCGGCTCCTGCGAACATGGGTCGGAACTTTTGTAACAGCACCATCTCGGTATATCGCAATGATCAGCATCCCGTGAGCTGCCCACGGACGCTTCCTAGCCCAGGCCTCTAGTCTAAGGCTGGTGTTTGTAGATCAGCGATATCAATTTACTCGTGCCTACCAATCTTAGTAAGTAGGCCAGAATTACAACTACCGGCATGAACTGGTGGAGCAAGAGGTCAAATATTTGTTGCACGTTTATCAGGAAGCCAAAGACAGGTATTGCACTGTAAGAAGCTCTCTATCTACTTGATTTACATACCTATCATATTCGTTGAGATTTCTCTGCTAACAGAAGCGGATCAATAGAATATATAATGAAGTCGTTAGAACAATGCATTTAACACTGCCAAGACAATCTTTCATCTCAAACCCATGCCTCGTAATCACTAACACACTTGTTATAAGCAGCCATTACGGATATACTACACCGAGATCGAGGCGACGTACCTACGGATTCAAGGCACGACGAGATTGCACCTATATGCTCGGAGTTATAGGCGTGAATATTACCGGCCATTAAGGTTTTCTAATTCAATATCCGAGAGCCACTGTGTTTGACTTATAGCGTCCCCAGTCTTATCTAGGACGAAACTGATGCATCGACTTTGGGAGAGCAGGTTTGAGGAGGAAACAGCTTCAGGTAGGATTGACCTACGTTGAACACTTTCTAGCGCCCACGATGAAGGAAGAAGAAAGGGTCCTTGCATCTGAAATCATATTCGAGGGTGGTCTAAGCACCTGAGCTGTGTCCATGGTCTTGACTCAGGACGGTTAAGATGGGCTTGAGTTGTTGCTTTGCTTGTCCTCTGTGCAAGCAACAGTTGACCATTACCTGGCTACTAGTCATTGCTGTATCAATGCAGAGTGGCCAATGCTCAACCCTGTCAACCTTGTTGAGCACTTATGTGCTTGGTCGAAAAAAAGAAGATACGCAGATACAGTACGGCCGTGTTAATTACCTACACAAAGTCAGGGTCGTCAGTACCATGCTGGATTGTGAATAGTCAAAATTATGGACCAAACATCCAAATCCTCGTGGCATATGCATCAAGATTCCTCTAGGATTGCAATACTCGTTTTAGAGCCAGTGGAACGTCATCCACTTGGAATCGTTTTCTTCCCCAGAACAAGATTGTTTCGGTGGATGCAGCGGTGTTCTTACAAAGAGAGGCCGATAAAGATACTTGTCAATCTAGGACTACTGCATTAAAGTGACTAAAGTGACTAAAAGAATGCCAAGAGCCCGGTATTTAGACCTTGAACCCGGCATATTTGTCCTCGCTTAGAGAAGCTCGAGTTTCATTATTCATAGTGTCCCCTATATGGGTAGGAAGAATGGTTGAAACAACAAAATGGAGAACAAAGGACCAGGGACGAGCCAAAGAACGAACTGGTCCCATAGTCTAGAAGCACTAGGCTCTCTCGAGTGACTTTCTAACGTTAGTTTAGTACTGTATCCGTAGGCAATTAATTGATTAGCTTCTCTTTTGTGCTGACAGATCTGTGACCGGGTGCAGGCTGTGATCCTTGCGAAACGTCAATGTATCCATACCTCGTGGCCGGGCGTTCTCCCCGCCTTCGGCAGCAAGAGGATCCGTGTGACTTGCCATTGGAATCTCAAACCCTCTGAGCCAGAATAGGAAATGGCAGCTGTCTTGGCTTCTAATTCCGCATACTAAAGGACCTGAAGATCCTTGTCTCGCCATGTTTGAAGTCTGCGGCGAGGTTGCACCTACTAAGTGCTATTGGTCGGCCGCTAGCACTCACTAGGAATAGACCATGGACCCGCTGTTTGCTTGACTAGCACTCCTGCCTCTTACAACACGACGAAACTCGACTCTGTCACAACAATGCTTCAGCCTCTTGAAGCCAGCGCCTTTTCTTCTTCTTCTTCTTCTTCTTCTTCTTCTCTGACGGCGACTTTTGGATTCATTAGTCTCTTTGTAGAAGCTCAATTGTGAATTATCAGCTATGACCAATTCGAAATTCAGTTGTGGCTGCAGTCGCAACCATTACCAAAAGTCCTCGAGCGAGTGAACACAGCTGCTGATGATGATCTCAAACTCCCCAACCCCAAAGTTCTCTCTCTCTCCTCTTAGCAGGTCCCACATCGTGTCGCAGAAAGTTCGTCAGTGTTATCGAGAATCACCGTCCCGGAAACCCAATCTACACGAGTGAAACAATACCCTTCTCGCCCTAATGCGGGACATGGCCCTCAACCCACCCAAACGCTGGGCTTGGCCTCCATGCATCGACCACCATCTGTCAGGGGCGAAAGCCTCGATGCTACCAATCTCCGTCACGAAGCAGCTTCATCCTTGCTCTTTGGGTATTCCTGAGTCTTGCAGGGTTCCTCAAGCTTAGCTCAATGTGCATCCCAGCCTCGATGTGATTTGCCCTTTGTTCAACATGGCAAGTCCTATATTGCCTCCATCGTCTGCTCTCTTCGACCTAGTCGGTGGTGTTTTGTCTGATCTCCGTTTCTTTTCTCGTTTTTGATTTCACGTTCGTTTGCCACAGGCCAGGTGCCATCTCATATCTTTCACTTTCCTTCTGTGCTTTCCGTGTATTTGCTTGATCATCTCTTATCTGCTCTGCTTCAATTGACCTGGTACTTGCTTTAGAGGGTTACACTATTCTGACTGCTATCACATCGTATCTGGCTGCTCCTCATCTCTTTTCTTTTCTCTCTTTTCCTTTCGACATTAGGGTCCCTTTTCGATCGATACTCTTAAACGACATCGACATCAACATCGACATGGGAAACTAAAAGTCACCTCCAAAATCAACGCGGTGCCGGCACTGTGAAGGCTTCAAGCCTATTCTTAATCTCGAAAAGACTTCTCGAACTGGACACGACAAAGATTAAAGATGGACAACGACGGCACAAACATGGGCTCGACGGGCTTTCAATTCCAGGCAAACTCAACATCAAAATGGGATAACGAACTCAAGTTTGCTGCAGCTGGCTCGGTCCGCACCTCAATCATTGTTCTGGCTGTTTTCAACTTGGTGGTGGCATTCGTGGTTACTCTCGTCATACTCTTGAGATCGTGGAGGACACTAAAACGTGCCGAATCGTGGGACTTCAAGTAGGTACTCCCTTTACTTCACTCCAGAGATATCTTCTTACAATTCGTCTTCCAGATCATCTTGGTTCCGACTTGTCAAGGGACGAGATATTTATCCTTTCGTCCTATCTATCGGCATCGTAACTCAGGGAATTGTGTATGCTACTGCTCAAGCCAAGGGACTCGAATCACTCATGATCCTCAAGTGTGCCATGGTCTCACAAATGATGCTTCCAGGCAAGTCAGCTTGTTCGAGACCATATGCTCGACTCTACTAACACTTCTACAGCTTTCTTTATTGCTCCATTTATCCAGCTGGTATTTGGGCTGGAACTGACCATCCGCGTCACAAAACCAAACATATTCCCTTTCCGTGGGCGATTCAACACCGTGGCCTGTCTCGCGTTCATTGGTGCCCTTTTGCTCGTAGTGTTTTCAATCACGTTTGCAATTCGCCCGTCAGAATTTTGCTTTGCAAGCCTAGTGTCTTTCCTTCATCGATATGACACCGGAATCTTCGGGTCTTTGCTCACTATTATCATCCTTGTCATAGTTGAGTGCGGTATTATTTGCTTCAAACTTCATACCGGAGCCAGGATGGATGTCACTGAAAGGGATGAGGCATCTCGTATGGTTTATTACATGATCATTGCTGTGATTTCCTACGTAAGTACACTACTATTCGACGGATAACAGGAACTAACCTCGAGCAGACTCTGCAAATAACTTTCTATTACAATACGTCGTTCCATGATCCGGGAGCAGCTGGAGATGCTTCAATGCAACTATCCATCATCGGAACAGTTGTGATGAACATGTCGGGATTTTTGCTTGGCTGCTTGTATCTCTTCCTCCGATCAAGTAAATCTCCGACTGGATGCTCTGATGACGACTTCGAGGCATCTCGAAGCTTCAAGAAATGGACTGATGACCAGGATCAAGAACCCGCAACCCCCCTCTCAACGATGCCCGGAATGGTTCATAAGTCTAACAGCAGGGAAGACCTGATGATGGACGACAGGGTGGAAGACAAGGTATTTGGCGCACGCAAGGACTTCCTCAAAGGTGGCTTGAAGCCCCTACGTTTGGGAAGTATGCGCAACTCGGGCGATCTACCAACGGCGCCAAAACCTGTACGAACGTCATCGAAGGAGTCGATCAAGAACTTCAAGCGAAGCATGTACAGCATCTTCCCCAAGCCCGAGCCACCCAAATCACCCATCCTATTACCAACAACATTCTACAAGGGTCCAGCATCCAAAGCAGCGCCTGAACCCCCATCTTTAGCCAATCTTCTCGCACCACCAGCCCTCCGTCTACCTGATAGGAGACTCCGATCTAGTGGCGCTTCAGCTCTCTCCACTGCAACGGTGCAGATTGGCTTGCGACTCTCCAATATTGGTGGTGACATGAGCCCTACCAAGCCCGAACCCAAACAAGACACAAACCGCGTGGAAGAACTCGACTGTCCCAACAGCACAGTGAGATTCTTCCCGAGGAAAACAAGTCCACTCGCCATCGCCATTGTCGATGTTCCTGGCGAAGGCACCAGATACCAGATTCAAGACAACTTCGAAAATGACCTCTCTGAAAAAGAACTTCCACCTGTCCCCCTGAGTGCGGGTATGGTTACACCTCCAGAGACCACTCTCAGCTCGGCTGTGTACAGCCCACAGGAGTCAACACCTGGCTCATCCTCGCACAAGCCCAATAAGCCATCAGTCAGTTCCAGAGCCCACAGCCGGCAAGCCTCAACCATGGGAGATTTAGGTAGGTTACATAGCCGCCATGGGTCAAGAGCTGAAGCGGATACGGGGAGAGGGCCATGGATTTAAAATTTTTTAGGAAAATATGGGTAGGGCCCTCAGCAGGCGAGGATGATGATCTCTCACGAATGGTTTGACACTTGTAACGATTCCCTTTGTGTTCCAATGATTTGGACTTTTCTTTGATGCCAGCGTCGAGATTTATTTTATAGATAATTTAGAGGATTGGGCGGAGATTCAACAGTTTCAGAATGTGATGTAAATCGTACACTGGCACGGTCTGTAGGACTTGCGGCTAAACGCTACACTGGACCGTCATTACATGATTTCTGGCGCAAATACCTCTGTAGTTCTCTATCTGTTCTTTGTGGTTTGAGATGCGACTCTTCGCTCCTCCCACTTCTCCCAGCCCGCCTGACACATGTCCTCTTCCACTACCAAATCACGAACTCGAAAGACTCTCGCCAAAGGCGTCTCCAAGGCCCAGCCCAGCCAGCCCGTCTGCCGCACAATAGCAACGATGATAAACCACCCGATTGCACTCACAGCGCCAGCGGCACAACCTATAACGACCTGCTTAGGGGTGTGATAGTTGAGATATACCCTACTCCATGCCGTCGCTGCCGCAATCGCCATGCCAGCCACACTCACTGCGACCCTTTCGACAACACTCCATGGTCGGTGCACACCGCTTTCTGCACGGCCCTTTAGCACACGAGGGGGCTTGTGACGGACGAGCAGAAACAGCGCAAGGGAGACGCTCCAGAAAGCAACAAACTGGGCGTGGGAGCTGGGCATGCCATAGCCTTTACCATGTATACGACGCGGTCGCTCTTCCTTGATGAGACGTTTTAGAGCAAAGTTGAGGACTTCGCAGGCGAGTTGACCCAGGAACATAAGGGCGACTTCGACCTCGCGAGTAAAGAGCACGAGTGTAGCATAGACGACGCAGAGGGCTTGGGGGAGGAGAGCGAGGTAGGCGCATACGAGCGAGAGGTGATCTTCGGGGTCCTGTGGGATTTTTGTTAGATAGGTTCCTTCCTGGAGTAGAGTAGCTTACATAGTAGACATGGGTAACCGAGAGAGAAGCGAGGGGGGTAGAATCGTCGGCCATGATGGGTTGTGTGTGTCTTCGGGAGGTTTCAAGGAATTGAAAAAGACTGCATTATCCAGTAGCTAATTAATTCTGCGCCCTTGCGTGATCCAGTTGTTGTAATTGAACAAAGGAAAAAAAATGGCTCCAGGCAACAAGTTCATAAAAAAAAAGGATCAAAGCCAAGCAAGCAAGTTTAAGCTCGTCTCTTGGTGTTGATGACGATGCAGCCAGTAGATGTGGCCGTGCCTGTGGCTAATGCCGAGAAAGATCCATAGAGTGGCGTCTCGGACTTCCTTGTCTCTTATTTGTCAAGCCGCAGGAAGGCAGTCACCGAATTCAACGACGCCGAAAAGAGTCATCATCGTCAAGCAACTTTTAGCATCTCTTTTTCTTTTCGGTGTGAATGAAAGAAAGAAGAAAAAAAATCATCGTCTCTTCATTCTCTTACTAATAGATGATAAATATTACATCTTCATTTACAACTTTGCATTGTTCGTCATTACGGAATAACCCTCCCAACCTGTCTTGTCTTGTCTTGTCTTGTCTTTGTCTTGTCAAAAGCCCTCGTCTCGCCCCTCTTTACATAAAGCACATATCTACCAAAAGAAGCACCCCTCAGGATATCAGAAAAAAATTGTCCGCTGAGAGCCCAAGAGACGGGATTATTAGGTCAGTTTATGCTATCCGAATCAGACTTTTTAGGCTGTATTTTGGTACCCTAAAGCTTAAAGGCCAACGTTTCTGATACCAACTACCTAGGCTAGACACCTCATGTTTGAGTCTTGTTAAGGAAGCAAAGGAGATAATTACGACTACGATCATGGAGGCCTAGCAGATATGGACGAAAGCGATGATCCTCGTTTCATGGAGCTTGGCTCCCTTGAGGCCATATATCCCGAGATTCGTCGTCTTGACGCACAAGACCCTTTCACCTTTGAGATAGATCTCCCTGTTGAGCCTGCCGCTCCGGTTACTGTCACTTTTCCAGCAGCATCTGCACCCGCTCACACTGGACTTACAACGCCTACTCAAGCTGCCGAGAATATCCAGCCTGAAGTTGACTCACTCAAGGTCTCGTACCTCCCGTCATTGCGGTTGAGAGTCCGGTTGCCAGAGGGCTACCCTGTAGATGTAGCACCTGAGGTCCAGGTATCGACAACACCGCAGTGGTTAACCGAGGAAACAATAAAAAGACTCCAGGATGATGGGCCGCGTTTATGGGATGAGATCGGTCGTGATATGGTTGCATTTACTTACATCGACCACATCCAACACGCCGCCGAGGATGTCTTTGGAACTATCAGCCCCGAGGGAACCCTTCAGGTCGACCCCGAGCATAAACTCGCTGTGTTAGATCACGACATAAAAGCCAAAAAGGCAGCATTTGAAAAGGAAACATTTGAGTGCGGTGTCTGTCTCGGTATGTACTATCAACAACCCACTTCTAAGCCCCTGCTGACAATATAATATACAGATCCCAAAAAGGGTACCAATTGCCACAAGATGCTGGACTGTGGCCACATATTCTGCATACAGTGTTTGCAGGATTTCTACAACGATGCCATCAACGAGGGCAACCTGTCCACTGTCCGATGTCTAAGTCCCAACTGCGCTAAGGAACGGGCAACAGCTAAACAAGCAAAGAAGAGCAAAGTTGCCGTTAGCCCCAGTGAGCTTCTCCAGATTGGGCTATCCGAGGAAATGGTTAAGCGTTACGTTACGCTCAAGTACAAAACAGAGCTTGAGTCTGACAAAAACACAATATACTGCCCAAGGCAGTGGTGCAACGGAGCAGCCCGGTCGAAACGCCACAAGAAGCCGGAGGGTTTGGACTTTGCCGAGATTTCCGATGCTGAATCAGGCAAAGAGGAGGAAGAAAAAGCAGAAGGCGATTCTGATACCAGAACTAAGAAGAAGAAGAAGAAGAAGAACAAGGACCGGTTTAACAAGGCTGATCTCCTGGCCATTTGCGAAGATTGTGGCTTCGCCTTCTGCGGCCAGTGTTACCAATCGTGGCACGGAGAGTTTGTTCGCTGCGCACCACGACGTGACAAAGAAGAAGTCAGCGAAGAGGAAAAGGCCTCGCTCGAGTATCTTCAGCTTCACACAAGCCCATGCCCAACATGCAATGCCCCTGCACAAAAGACACACGGCTGCAACCACATGATTTGCTCACGATGCGACACTCACTTCTGCTACCTATGCTCTTCATGGCTCGATCCTGTAAATCCTTACCAGCATTACAATCAGTTGGCTGGCGGGAAAGTTACTTCCTGCTACATGCGGCTATGGGAGCTTGAAGGTGGCGATGGCGACGATGTCGGCTTGGGGTTCATTGGCGGCCGTGGCCCAGGAGCGGATCCTCCGCCAGCACTAAATGATATTGAGCTTCTGCCAGAAGTCATCGAGTCCGATGATAGTGATGGCGAGGAAGAGGTTGACGCACGTGATAATAACAGACAGCTTGGCGGCGAAGGTCAAGGCCAAGGCATAGAGATTGCCCGCGAGGGGCCTCTCGTGATTCGACTTGTCGACAATCAAGCTCGAGACGCCCGTAGAGCTATTCCTCCAGCTGCTCCCGACGCACCACAGCACCCAGCTGGCCGAGGGCATCGTGGACCACCTCGAGGCGTAGCGGGTCGAGGCCGCGGCGCAGGAGGGGCTGGGAGAGGAGGCGGAGGAGCGGCAGTTGGGAGGGGAGGCGGAGGACCTCGTGGCGGAGGAGCTGCCAATCGTCAGCGGGAAAACCAGCGACTACATCAACTTCAGCAGGCAAATGGTCAGAATGCTGGCCTGGATCCAGCACAGGAGGCATGGGTTCGACGGTTCGTACAGATGGCTCTGAATGACGAGGAGGATCTGGTTGAAGGCGACTCAGATGACGAGGATGGTAATTGGATTATTCGATGACAACGGGATTTGAATGGTCTCACGATCACAAGACGGCATCGTGCGGCTCCGCTGTAAATACTCAAGACAGTTTCCTAATAGATAGCCTTTTCATGTGTAGCGAACACATACGTGAATGATCTGCCATGCACACCAAGATCCCCGGATGATGTCAACCAACTTCTGCGATGGCAACCTGTTTTCCTGTCTCGTGTCTTGTCACGAGAACTTGTACGCTCTCCTGAATCGGCACATTAGTGCTGAACCTGTGCCCTTTGTCAACGGTTCTGTCAGTGCCCAGCATAAAGGAATCTTCGGCATCAGAGCTAGACCCCGCTACGGTAATTGACACCCGCTTGTAGAATTGTTGGATGGGTGATTGAGGTTACATGCTCTAATCTGTCCCGACTTGGCCATCTGCTGCACCACTTGGACGGACATGACCGTGTATCTAGTATACCTAATTAGATGAGCCCATTTAGACCTGTGGAAAATGCTCCGGTTATCAAAAGAGAACCATGAACCTTTGCTATCAATTACCGGTTGTAGGCGTAGGTTCCTCCACCTCTATGGAGATGGAGAAGTAATGTTGAGTACATAGTAGACCGCCAGTCGGGATTACCACTCGGCAGAAGACCCTGATCCTAGCCAGCCTGGAAGTGGTATCCCCGTCCTGACTTGTTTTGTTCCAAGTCCTTTGGTGATCCATACACACTCCGTTGGACGGCACATGCTGACCAATGTATGACTTTGCTCATACCGTATTCTTCTCTTCTGCTGGCTGGCCGATCGACACTGTAGCCCTTGAAGATACGGGCCCTCGTGCGGACAGCCTGGCCTCAAGGCCTACCATATGTATGTAGACATTGCTGGTTTGGTCTTCTTAAGATACAATGAGATTGTCAAGGTTAACGTGGCCAAATCGGACTGCAATACTAGTTGGAGGGAAGACCGGAAAAAGAGGTGAGGCAGAGCTGCACGCCTGGACCTCAGAGGTCAGAGCACAAAACCTAGCTATGCCTAGAAAGTAGACATTGGATCGGAATAAAGGCACTATGGCTAGTAACGTTAATTTATTGGCTTGATGCTTGATACCACACAGAACCACACCATCTCACGCATGCACTGCTCCGAACGACATAAGGTCCTGCACCTAACGCGAGGGCAAGGCACAAACATGCTCCAGTGGTGGTCGTTCACATGGCATTGCACCAGGCCCCATATTGTTGATAGACAAGATGGGTGCAGGGATACAATTACGAGTATCAGACAGACGTAGGTCGGTGGTTGATGCTTGGAGGAAAGTCATCGGATACGTCGTTTTGGTTGAGACTGGGATCGTATACTGTTGGAAATGCCGCTGATGCTGAGTTGAGCTCACTGTATCGAAACTTTATGGCCGAGCAGGGATCCAAGTACATACTGCAGCTTGCAGGTGGTGCTCTGCCCATAACCATCTCGTCGCCTCGCATTGCATGAGCACGCGCACGCTCGCGAGTATGCATACACACGGGCACTATAATATCTAGCCAGCAGTGAGAGCATTCACCATTGGTGAATGGTCTGGGCCGACAGTTGCAGAACGCGGGCGCTACTATTAAGGTTGCTCCGGACGGGTATTTCGGTTCCGGCCAAGTGAACCGTCTCAAGAAGGGCAGATAATGTTTCATATCTTCCAGTTTTGCTTAGGAAATAACTACTAAACAATCAATAGAAAATACAATATCCAGCAATCTCGCTCCTGGGTTCTGGTTCTGGGGAAGAGCTGATCCTCATCTAGTCCTTAAGGGAGTAATGTCCCTGGACGTGGTGGAGCCTAAATGTGAGAGGAAAATTGCATCTACGTAACTAGTATGTACCCAGGGCTGCCAGGACAGGCTGGCTTGGTACATATTAGTAGCTCATAATTTTGCATACCCTTGTTTTTGTTGCCTGTACTGTAGGGTCGAACCCTTTCAAGACGTGTGCGGCATGCACGGATGCCACTCTGTGTCCTTGTTGGAACGCAATTAAACGCTTTGTGTGGGCGCTCTCACCCACGCCCTTAGTTTCTCGCCCAGCTGGATGACTGACTATTGCTGCAGTGGACCGGCGTATGCTTGACTGAAATCAGTTCATGGCATTGGACTGGCTGCCGGGGAATTTACTATGCTTACTGAACACGTCGCGTTGATCATCCACGGCACACTGCTTCAATGCTACCGGATCTTGCAAGTAAGGAGCCGCAACTGCACCATGAAACAGATGTGCCTTGACCTAAGAACGGTAGGGCTGAGTTCACGATACCACGTTAACTTGCCGAGTAGGTAGAGTGACCGATGCAGGTACGCCCGGTATACGAACCAAGGAATGTCCCCTCTAAAGTATTTTCGTATTTAGACGTATTACGCTCGAAACACAAATACATAGTTTTGTGGCACAAACAGTTGGCAAGTTTGTGGGCCAGGCGTAGCGGGGATCCCTTTCTCTCGAGTCCCGTTGTACATAGTAAAGGGAAATGATGATAAACTAGCGTGCGCTTGTATCAGTAGAAGCAACGTTTTGATCCAAGCGTCTGGTCTAAATGACCTGATGTTGATAAGGCCTGGACGTACCCGCCCCACGGAACGTCCGCATAGGTAATTGAACAACTCGTAAGTATTACTTGAGAAGTCCGACAGGAAGGAAGTACGGTACTGTAGGCAGTTAGAGTCGCGGACTTGATCGTTCAAGGGTGTGGGAGCCTAGTCTTGTTGGGTCGAGAGAGGTGACGATCGGTAGCTGGGGGGGGGGGGGGGGGGGGGGGGGGGGGGACTGCTAACCTTACCTATCTATGCACATAATGTTTCGTTTCATTGCCTGATTGTTTCTTGTTCCTTCAGATACTCGGATCCTGGTTTTTTGTAAGCAAAACTAGCTCTTTGCCGCAAGATCTTGGGTCAGTGGCAAATCTCGAGACTTTTCTAGGTAGTTGCTCTGAAAGTAAACAAGTCAATATTGCCCAAATAACGGTACTGCAATTCTATTGTTCGGGCTATATTCGGAAATGAGAAATCGCGACTTGACTGGGAATCCGTATAAGTCAGGGATTGGCAAGACACGACCAGCTGTTCCCGGGGACAAGGCTGAACTCAGGACAACAGCTGTCCGCACATACTACAAACTCATCTCGCCGACTTTTATCAACTTTATGCGCATTGACTCGTATACTTTGGTCGATTCAGGGGCACGATACTCCATCGGTCGATGTGCATCGATTACATGGTTCCGAGATGAATCGCTTTCCGTATTCAAACAAACGTGATCAAGAGCCGGTTTTCGATCGGCGTTTGTATGTATCCGTACAATTCAACAACGCAACTAGGTCAAGGAATATTGAGTTATTGCCCAAAGTGAGTCAAGTGGCTCCCAGTCAGGTCGCTGCAAGACGATCAGTATCCTAAAAGGGACTACCGACCGGAGAAGCAGGGCCCAAACCACGCCAATTGCTTCCTTGACCCCTAAACCCGGAGAGATGTGGACCTTTGTCTTTGAGACAGCAGGGGGCGGGACCCATCGGCAGCCATCATGGACAACGCTAAAACTGAATACCAGCAGGGGAAGCCAATCGACTCAGCTCTCTGAGCTCATGACGCTGTGGGTGTTCAACTGCCGCGATCTGCTGGCGCGTTGCAACGTGTGCACTTACGATGCGTTTGAGGAAACTCGTTACCGGTGTCCGTCTGTCCCATCCCATAATGGTCACGTTTATGAAACTTTCTGACAGTACATACTGTTCCTTTTGCTTCTCTTGCGCGATATTTCGGGGGAACGACGATATGCGGAAAAGTCCTCGACTTTGGTGTCGTGACACAAGCTATGGGCGGGTACCCAGATGATGAGTCTGGCGTTGGCACATGGATGCAGTCGATGTACTTTACTACATCTTGACGCATGCACATGCAACACCGTTTTAGCGACCCTGTTAAGTGACCAATCAAGCGATTGATGGATCGCTTGACAATTCGACTTCTACTAAAGCATACTGATAGTATCTTAATACCCGTCTGTTAAGACCAAGGATGTGCGAAACACAATTTCGGGCAGAGTCTTCTCCACATTGCCATAATAGTCTCCCAATTCGTAGTATCGGCCCCTTTGTTCGAAGATCCTGCATATGGCCTTACATTTCGCGTAGAGGTCATTATTTACCATGGCTTGAGTGTCGAAATTGCTTGAATCCGGAAACGCCGCTTGTCCAGAGTATGTTTGTAAAGCTCAGAAGATCGTTTTGTTATCTAGCGATCCAGGAAAGGTCATTCCAGCAAGGCTTTGACGATCACGATGATTTCTTGGCGTAAATTACAACATGAGGAATGAACAAGTGCCTTGAAAGGTAAACACTCTAGATGGAGCCATCTGCCTGCCACCCGCTCAACGTGCTCTCAAGCCGACAGATGCAATGGGCTGCCAGATCTTAAAAATCGCCGTGGCCGTCTAGGATGGTTACATCGACTGGCTGGCGACAGGGCAGGGTACTTGGAGACGAGCTGCTACCGTTGAGATGGAGTCTAGGCGTGTGTCTCAGGAGAATACATAGTTCACCGGTGAAAGCCGTTGCCCTGTTCAAGCTGGGCTTGGGGTACTATTATTGCTATGTATCCAGACAGGGCGCGCGAGCTTGACAGCCTTGTTACGGCAACCTTCAATAATACACAGCGGTCATTGTTGAGGTTGGACATACCGGACTGCAATACGGAAGGGCCACTAGTCGAATGAATGCAGGCGCTCAGCGAATAAGCAAAAGAGGTGACTGTCCATTTCCATCTCCGATCGAGTACGGGAAACAATCCTCCACAAGGCATGTGAGAGTGACGAGCTGCATGCCAGAGCAATAAATGCGGATGCACTCCAGTCTGTGCGGACTTAGACGTTGTCGATGTGGATGTGCAGTGGACGTGCTCTATCTCCTACGCACGCTATGGAGATATGGTTATCCTTGTCGTGTTAAAGAGCTCTCAACCTCAATTGCAAACAAGTGGCCCTTGTTCTGTTCGTGATTTTGAATCCTGGACCATAGTCTAGTTAGATGCTTGTACTTGTACGTATTGGTCATTTTAGGCTTGCTGCCCTTTGCTTGGTCGTGACTCGGTTCTGTCTCGTCTCCTCTTCTGTCGCCGGATAACAGAAGAGACGGTTGGAAAAATCAAGGCGAACGTCTGGCGTCTTGAACGATAATCCATGGATAGCATGGGGATGGGGATGGGCGAATGATTTGAGTTGTTCGCTTCGGCACGGCCTAGACGTTTGAAAGGTACATATGCTCCGCTATACTTATTGGACCTATATTATAGTATGTACTCTGTATATCTCATCGAAAACAAAGCTCATGGGTGTCGTAGCCGCCCCTGGTGGCATCGTGACGATAATAACACGCGATGAGGATGCCACACCCGTAACTGACTCGGTTTCTGTATTATGGTCTTGTATGCATGCACGCGTACGAAACCTGGAGGAGGTGAACGTACTGCATCGTAAGTTGGAAGATACCGTACTTGCAGTAGAAGTCTGCAGGCCTAGACAGGTACGTAGACCGTTGATCGAGCGATGTGAGTTGGAGGAGAGGCTGGCAGATGGTAAGGCCAGTGTCTGAGATAGAGACCCTTACTGTGCTCGTACTGTGGGGATAGCCGTTGAGGGCGGCCGTTGGGAAAGAGCACGGCCCCATCCGCTCTTGTCTTTTCTAGGCTCGCTTCTGGCATTTTGCGTCTTTAGTGCATCAATCTTGCTTATTAGTGGTGCAAATCCTAGTCGTGCCTTCCCCTCGCACGTCTCCTTGCTTCGTCCAGAGCAGAAAGCAAGAGCCATGGATTGACCCCACCCAGCATACTCTTTTCCTTTTTTCCCTTGTCTCATCTTTCCCATTACATACCTGGCCCTTGTTCATCCCAGTATTCTTTTCTCCACCAACAAACCAGCCAACGATAACGCGAGACATTGATACAACGGCGCGTCTTCGAAGCCATCTCCAAATGGGCGCCCATTTCGAACCATACGCATACTTCCCCATCTCCAATTGACTAGACTATTCGACATGGGTGGCAATTTCTGAGTCGTGACAATGATTGAAACGCTCTCTGCAATGTTCTGTAACCCTCGTCATTATAGGTATTCCTCGTGGTCAACGTCGTCATCTACAACACGCACGTTTTTTTCTGTCTTACCAACAAGGATCACGGATTCCAGGGAGATGGGATAATACGCAGCCCGACCTAAAGCCACATGGCTCAACATACGTAGCCACAATCTTGTTCTAAGCCTGGAACAAACGCCCACTATCCGTATGTTAGCTACAATCCTGAATCTCATTCAAACACTAGGTTTGCATACTGGAGCAAGCTTCTCCGCACATTCGGCCAAATTCAATTCCATTATGCGGCGCAAGCATATCCAAACCAGATGTTGGCCGCCTCGCCCCAGATGTACTGTACGCTCTAGGACACAGACCACTGAATGGACATCCTGGGTTAGACCATGGGCCTGTGGTTCGCGCTATCTTCTCCAGGTCGCTGCTGTCATTACTGCAGGGCTGTCGATACTGTATGCTCTATGTATGTACTGTACGTACGTGCGTGCATACTAATTATATTGCTGCTTTTCCCAATGCCACAATATGCAAGTAGCGCGCGCCCGCCCCTGCTAATTAACGACACTACTGCGAATGGAGAGCTCAATGATTGTGCCGGGGCCACGCCGTTCACTCCACCTTCTCCGTCAGCCTCCGCTAAAAAGGTTTGAGTAAGCATAAGCTAAGCTGTCTCCTCTGCCAGACCAAGAAGGTACTCCATTCTTTCATCTCCCGAGTCGATCCCAAAACGGATCACGCTCGAATTCATACGTGCTCCGGCTTGTGGCCGGGCGTCCATACCACTGTTCACCGAGTAAATGATGGATGGATTGCAGGCATCTCTGTCACTTTTGCCTGATATTGGCCTGTGTTAATGCTCTATCAGGACCAATGGTATTTGTTAACGTGCAACATATCATAATCATAACATGATTGTGGTCCTTATAGGTGGATATCTCTTTCACATAGGTAGGCGAACGAACCCTGGTCAGTAGCAAAACTCTTCAAACTTGAGTTTTCCTCTGTTTCCTTACCTCCCTGTTCTTGTAACTTGCCCCATTGTCAACTCTGTCCAACGGCTTTCTAGAAATTTGCGGGCCGGCAACCTTCACTACACTACACGGAGGATTCTTCTCTCAGAGTCAACATGCCCCGGTCAGACATCAAGGCTCAGGATTGGCCATTATTAGGCCAGCTTGATTGAGGAGGGAGGGGGCTGCCGGGCCCTCAGAGATAGTCCCCGTGTCCCCGCTCGACCCATTTCCTCGTCAGTTTCTGTCTATCTCATCCCAACCAGCAGGGATGGGGTAGCCAGTACGTGGGACTGGCACTGCACATGCGATGTTCTTATCCATACTTTAGCGTCATGACTTGTCAACAGTACATAGCCTTTTCTTAACGCTGGCTTGTTTAGCAGGGATATTCTCGAACCCCTCGGTAGACGCTGACGAGGGGATGGCATGGCAAGGGACTACGTGCTGGGGCGTGTCTGGGATGTCTTCTCTTACCCTCGCGTCAAGGCCCTAGTTCTCTTTTTCCCAAAACCCGCTGGCCATGTATTCGACTTCTGCTAACCTGCCAGTACCCGGCAGTTTGTGGTTCCCTTTGAACCCTCTCCATATCAAACAGTGTTTGGGGCATAGCATAGCTTCGTCTTAGTTTCATTATACGCTCCATCGATACATGTACGATATACGTTATCAGACTTGCCTCTGCCCCCGAAATAGCGTTTAACGAAGCTCGTCGTTGACCACGCACGTTCTTTATGGCCAAGTCTTATTCATCGCTATTATATTGTGCCACGGACTATCGCCCTGAATGAAGAAGTCTAGGCACACCCAGTGTTGTCGAAGTATTTGCACAAAATCAGCCTTCAGTATTACAACAGGCTTTATTTGTTTCCCAGATCCGCCCCTCCACTCCCGTCCTCCTTCCAAGAACGGCCGCATGCGCTGAAGTGGTCTCCTAGTCCACTGGCATCAATGACCGGTCCTTCCTGAGTGAGCTCCTGATCAGAACTCTCTCCGGAGTCGATACAAGCCAGGTCTTGTTAACAGCACTGACCCAAGTCCCTGTGCCTGGACCTCGAAACATCCCCCCGTCAGACCTGGTCTCCACCCTGGAGACAGTGCCGGGTGTTGGACTAAACACTCCCCTCCATCATCTGCCGTTCCTCTGGCCGCCATCCATTTCCATATACAAGTACACACTGCACCTTCAACTTTGAATATCACTCCCCCTGTGCCTTGGGTATCGCATCGTGTTTTCCCTTCGCTCCCATCTCAACTTGCGCCAAACATCTCTTGCGTGGTTCTTCGTCTTGATACTCTTGCTACTTGGCTTGGTGTGTTTCGAGGTTTATGTTCCCAGGACCGCGTTACTAGTGACGGGTCAAACCAGGCAGCTCCGTCTGGTTGAGTAGGCAAGAATTTGGATAGGTTATGCTCTCATGACAACCGCAGCGGCATACCCGGCCACTATGGCAGACTTAAGAGGACACCCAGGACATTCGAGCCTGTGGTCGAGTTATGGAGGCTCAGTACACATGCCGGGGCGAGTAACGGATCCTATGCCGTCAACTTCATCGCCTCTTCCAGGACGAACCAGCAGTAATCATAACGAAATGGAACAGCCTTCTTACTCCTACAGCCGGTACCCCCAGGACGATCAAGAAGCATACGACAGACCTGCTCACCCAGAAATGGTTTCCCACCACGGCTATCCAACCTTGAAGAGATCTTTTTCCGAGGCAGAGCCACCTGCCTACCAGGAAATAGTCCAGGACCTTCGCGACGACAGCTCTAAGATGTCGGCTAGCCACGAACACAAACTGCTGGCTTTCAAGAGAACTCAGGACAAACACACAATTGTCGATTCACAAGGTCGCATGCAGCAACTCGAACTATCAGCACAGCTCCATGGAATGTTCTTTCTCTCAGAGATGCCTGCAAACACATCAGATGGCTCACTCCGACAGCCTGAGTTGACTTGCTATCGGAGAAATCTCTTCCAGATTAGCGGTACGCTTGTCACTCCACGTGGGCAACTTTCTGTCATCACTGAATCAGGCGAGACGGTTGCAGTCAGCAACATGGAGGTTACCATCTCAGCTATTGAGTCGGTTGATGGCAATCCAGTTCGGTTGATCGTCATTCCGTGGAAGACTCCCCCACCAAACTCCCCCGAGACAAACCAGAGCCCTGACCAGGAGCCACAATCTCTCCCCCTGATTCCTTTTCAAGATGACGGGTCAGAATCCGATGGCGAGTATGCTGTTTACCCAATTGGATGGCGCCGACTGCAGTTTAGGATGTAAGTTTTTCGGTTGACTGGCTTTTTGAACCTGCTGATACGGTTATAGTGCAACTGCAAACAATGGCCGCCGAAAGGAACTCCAACAGCATTTTGTGCTGCATCTGAAGGTGGTGGGAACACTGGCCAACGGTAATAAGACTGTCCTTTCGGAATCGACAACTGCGCCTATTGTCGTACGAGGTCGAAGTCCCCGTAACTTCCAGGCCCGCAAGGAGATCCCTTTGCTTGGATCGAGTGCTGGTTCCCGTGGACAAGCCCTTGTGGAGACAGGTTTGGGCGTTGTGGCCGGACCCTTGAGTGCAAAGCATCAGGAAACAAAGCCAAGAGGCGTTGATGCGCAACTCCCACGGACAGCCTTTACCTTCAACGCACCCAAAATTCCCGGTACCCAGTTGGGACCGATACGATCAAAGTGAGTTTGCCGAATGAATCGATCCATGGCGATAAGGAAGGACGCAGCTTCGTCTCATCACTTCCCGAACCCTGATTGATGTTGTCTTTGTGATGACCGTTTCTGACTGAGATGATAGCTCCTATCCAACCTGGGGAACTCCTCCGGCTCAGGTACCAATAGGACATGTTCCGACATCTGGCGCGGAGAACTACCCAGCAGCAACAATGGGACCCTTGACGGGCACAGCCAGTTTCCCTGCCGAGCCGCAAGGGATGCCCATTCAATCATCCATGGAGCCTCCGGCGCCTCTTTCCATGGTAACCAACGATTCAGAACACCCACCGGTTCGGTCCCAGTACACCTATATGCAGACGACGACTGCCCCTCCGCAATTATCTATACAGACAACTCCGCTTGGAGGCCATGAGCAGGCGATGAATATCCCTCGTTATGTCGATAACCCGAGACCCTTGAAAAGCCCCCGGCATATGAGTCACCCTTCGATAAGGAGTTCGGGCTCTGTAGCGAACAACGAACCATCCCCGGAATACCGATACACCCCTTATGCTCCCGTGCACGCGAGTCCCAGTGAAGTTGCTCAACCAAGCTACCACCCAGAGACATCTGGACCACCTTCGGTGCCTTCAAGAGACTACTATGCACCTCCGCACACCTGGACATCGGCAGCTGGAGAGCATAATACGAACTTGGCATATACCAACAACGAAACTCGACCATACCCCTTCCCACAAGACGAGTATAAGAATACAACGACCGGAACGTCGCCCACGAAGGCAGAGCCGAGCCAACCACACCCTACATCAGTCTATAATGGAACCACAAGAGGCTCTTTTGACACCATGCATCAATATTCTTGGAATGGCAATTAGGCTTTTGCGTCTCTTTGTTGAAGCTCGTACTCGACGACATATTAAAAGCCGGCATCAAATGGTGTTGGCTTTGCAATGAGCATGAAGACCACTGACTGGTTTGTTCGTTAGCGAGCTTGTAAAAATACCTACTGGAGTTATTATTTTTCTTTCTTTCTATTTTTATGACGGATGGTGTTGGCAATCTGAATTGGGCGGCTTGCACTGATTTTGAAACACTGGATACCTTACCTTGAAGTAGACGGAGTGAGGAGGAGGACGACAAATTAATTGAGGGTGAAAAGGCCGGACCGAAGGTGAAAAAGAGTTGTTGATACACGAGACCGGATAACGGACGACTAGAGGCTAATGACGCTGTGGAACGATGGAAACAAGATGAGCCGATATCTCATCGAGCAGAGCTGTCGGTTCTGCAATGAGTCCAGACTGATGCTGTTGCATGGCTGGGCTTAAGGATGGTTTAGGCGAAACAAGGGCGTATCTCGTTCCCCGATTTTCTTTGTTCTTTCTTCATTCTGGGTATAAATCTGCTGGTTATACCCTTTCCCGTCTTCTGGCGGAGATGTTTTGTCAGGCGGCATGTCAGCAGGAATGTTGCTGCTGAGATCGAATTCCCTTATGTATTGATGAAGTAATCCGCAGAGAATTGAACTGCAATGAAATAAGACATGCTTTCCACCGTGAATGATCTGATAGGCGTTGGAAGGCGATGCTGCCGTGGATGTGTTTGTAAAAAGATTACAAAAGAAGTAGGAGATGAAAGGATAGAGTCAGTTTCTACCCAACTCAGTAGTTACTAGGTATGTAGGTATATATATAGTAAGGCTGTCATCGATAGTTAGTTCAAGCCATGTTGGGAAATTCGTATGCAGGCTGAAATTGCAGCGAGACCAACGGCTCCTCTCGACGTCGGGCCAGGGTCTAGCGAAGCTGTTTTATACTGGAATAGAAGTCTTGCACGACGATCTCTGTTTCTCGTCTGGGGCATTGATGTCGTTTATACTCAATCGATGACAATAGAGGAGGTAACACTTTTGTCGCACCATCGACTTGAGGGGAAGTTAAATTTCCTATCACGCTGCTCGGACCATGTTCCCTTATTCTCATGCTGGAAGCCAGGTCGATGGATGATCTGATAGTGGCTATTGTTCCAAGCAGGGCTATCGTTGGAGATGGCGTCGTTGGTATATGTTCTGCAAGGGCGGGAATGAGTTTGATTGGTTGGCAGATTCAGCTGAAGGTGATGCTTAAACTAATGCCGAAGGAAGGATCGCAAAAGCCCACGTAGCTACATACTACTAATTAGTATGTAGGTAGACGTAGGCATTCCTACCTAGCTAGGTTTGTTGTTGGAGTTCAAACCGACTGATTTCTACAAACGCTTACTAAAGCCCCTTTCTTACTATTGTGACTAGATAGTGTCATCTGAGCATCTGATAAATAGTCCAACCTAGCACAGTAACAGCTTGTATTAGTGGAAGCTTTAAACTACCTCTACTAACTCCAAAGCCAAGCTAATCCTGTGCACGGCTTTTAGAGACACTAACCTAACAAAGGAAAGTGTGGCATTTTTATTCTGGTGGCTTATGCGGAGCGATAAGATAAGAAAGCCGACAGAAATTTGGTAAGGTTAACTTTGCAGCTCAGAAGCGTGGCATTCGCTTCAATCAGCTCACAGAATTTCTCAATCTATCTTGCTTCCTTCTTTATCAAGATTGAGGGTTTCTCTGGAGGGGAGCTACTGAATCTATACCTGTCACAGTTGTGAGGAATAGGCTCATAATACACACCCCATTTTGGCTGATTTTCAGATATCGCGGTGTCTTCTGATTGAGAAGTCATCATGTTTGAAGTTCCCCAAGCAAAAAGGTAATGGTGCAATATTGCATTAAACAATAAAATACTGACTAGCTCATCAGGGTCCGCAGAAAGGATTTGAATGTGTCAGATGATGGCAGTGATGATGGACTTCAGGACGCCGAGTTGCGTGCAAAGCTGCATGCACAGATGGCGAAATCACTGGGCATGGATATTGACATCGGACCAGTCTCCTCCAGCTCCTTGAAGGATTCAAATTCAGGGAACACCAAAAAGACGGACGATGATGAAATGGACGTGGATCCTAATGAAGAGCCAGAGGATGACCATGAGGAGGCGTTTGTCTTTCGACTTTTCAGCAAAGCCCCAGCGACACAAAAAGTTGTGTTGGAAGAGGATACTGGGCCAACAGGCACCGGCGTTTTTGTCAGTGGTCGGCCGCTATCGTACTACATGGTGACAGATATACCAGCACAACGAAAGCATGAATACGCCATGGCCTCGATCAGCGGAGACGAGGTACTAGCAAGATCACACAACAGAGCCTGGGGCCTTGAGTTTCCCTGGAAGGTCACAAAACTCACCATTACTCGAAAGGCTAGCCCGGATCGAAAGGTGAAGGGAGACGAGGTTAGAGGAAAACGAAAGCCAGGAAAGAAGCAACGTATATCACTAAGAAAACGAGCAAAAGAAAAAGAAGAGAAGGAGGCAGCCGAGGCGAAGAAGATGGCAGACAAGGAGGAGCAGATTAAGGACAAGAAAAAGAGGATGAACCGATTGAAGAAGCTCAGGAAGAGGGCAAAGGCAAAGGGACAGAAACAACCCAAAGGGGAAGATGGGCACAGCGACGATTCTGATGGAGATTCTGCAGGTTCTGAGTGATCTATGCAAGAAAGTACCTTATTAATTATAATTATTATCTTTTCCTTAGTACTTATCATCACAAGTACCAATTTCAAAAGGAAACAGAAAGGCCTGATTGAAGGAATATTGATTTGATTATGCGATCTAATATTGTTAAAGCTTTCGAGTATTTAGAAAGGAGGCTTGAGACAACTGAAGCTACCTAACAAAACCATTGCGACAAGTCGGAAGTCGAAGTGGAGGGACCCTTGTTTGTCCTGGTCAGTACCTGCCTTACACCCACCAATAAAATTGGGTGGGCACGACCCCATGGAAACCCCCGAGGCTGCTCAAGCTGTACCTTCCACCTTAGAATAGTACCTCTCTATAGGTAAATAAATCTAGGCCAGGCCACGTCTACAGTCACTCCACGTTCACAAACCATCCATCATTTCTGTTCTTTTCAGAGATACAGTAGAAATAGACACTCTCGATTTTCTGGTACCCAACATACCATCAAGAGCAGCAATTCTTTTACACGACGATGACTTAATCGCCAAAACAAAAACCAATATCAATTTTGGCGGGGCATTGTTTAGATCAGCCTCACGACCACATCATAAAAACACCATGAGCAACGCCTGGCCTCCAGGGGCTGCCCAAGATGGCGCCCAACCTGATGCGCCTATAGAAGATGTTGCCGATACTGGTGAGATTGCTGACCTCGCTGGCGAGGCGGAACAACCTGACCTCCCACCCGTTCCTGCGCCGCCAACAACATCACGGCCTCCTCTCCAGCGCAACATTTTGCAAGGAGTCCCCCCAGCCGCCCCAATGGCGCCTCCTACCTCGAACGACCAACCGCCTGCGACCGACTCACTCTCTCTGCAACAGCTACGCCATATTGTGGCTGAGTTTAATCGTGCCGAGCCCGTTGCCTACGATTTTGAGTACACCGATATAGGCCCCCACGCCGAAGAGATTGATGAATGGTTCAACTATCAGTTGACACAGTGGACACGTCTCAACGCTGCGCAGGGGGCGTTCAAGTGGCACTGGCAGCACGAAGCGAGATCTCAGGACTCGTGGGACGATGCAGACAACGACACCCGGACAAGGTTTGTCCAGACGGCTATTGCAGGCGTGCAGTCCAACGACGCTGCGCTACGATCAGCTTCGATTGGAAAACTGGTATACCTTGTGTTGGGGCGCTGGAACGATACCGCTATGCCGAATGCGACGCCTGGGGATAGCCGGTCTGTCGCCAGTATTTCGCAGTTGCAAGCAATTAAGGCCGGGGTGGAGTGCATCACATCCTTGGACGGCCTGCCTGTCATATGGGAAGCTCTGCGGAATAATTTCGAATTACAGTGGTAAGTGAGCAAATGAGTATGCCGCCATATGCGATGCAGAGCTGACGATCAATCGCAGGTCAGGGGAGCCCTTAGGACAGCATAATAGCGCCCAAGAAGCCCAGGATGAGTTGATGAGTCTCATGACTATCATGTACATAGCTATACAGGAGACCCTGAACGACCCAGAAGACATGGCTTCTACATACGGAAAACTTTGTAAGTTTGTTCCCAGATTTATATATCACGGTAGCTGATACAAATAGTGGAACTTAACCCCTCATTGGTCGACTATATGTTCACAGCAACCTCGAAACTACGATGGGATGAGCAGAACGCCATGCCGCAGACTCAGGTGAGTTACAATCTCCCATTGGCTGAGACCGCGCTTATGCTGGATTAGATACTTTTATTGTTCTGGAAGTCGATCTTACTAGTTTTTGGCGGAACAGAGGAGCTCGAAGCTATCAAAAAGGCTACCAACGAAATGGGTGAAAAGGCGGCTGATAAAAAGACTATCACTGCCTCACCCTTGGACTACCACGTCTTCCGCCAAGAGATCACATCAAAATATCCAGCCTATGTACCCCCTCGCCCAGCCATTCCTCTCGAAGCAGATAACACCTCTTTGTTGCCCCCCTTCTCGAGCCAAGTGTCCCGAAACAACGGGGCGAATGGTATCATTCCTGCGCCACCCCAAGTTCATAATGGAGGAACGTCGATTCTTGATCAGCCGGTACACATTGCAACTCCTGCCCCCTCACCGCCACCCTCACCGGCAGTAGGCGGTAAAGGAGGTAAGAAACAAAACTACCAGACGAATCAGAATTTCCCCTTTATGTACCCTCCACTGGATGCCTCGAGCAATTATGCTGGCGGCAAAGAAGCTGCAGGCATTCAGCATGCCGTCGTTGGTCGAAAATGGGAGGGAAGCGATATTCCCGCCTCCATCCTTGAGGCCGGAGAGCTGTTTTCTACGAGAGTCAGGATGACGCGGGCAACGCGCCAACTTTGGGAAGAGCGTGAACGGTTCCTGAAGTTCGAGCGTGGTTACAACAGTGACCACGATGATGACGACGATATTGAGGGCCTTGATCTCAACGAGCTCACATTGGAAGAGCAGGAGATACTAAAAGAGATCAAAGCAGAGACCAGGGCAGAAGAGAAGGCCAAAAAACCGGTTGCCCCTAAACCAGAAATAGACTATGGCCCTCGGCCAGAGCTTTTAACTGAACGGGACAGGCAGCGTCTGTTTGCCGTGGAAAAGTTTTATGTGAGTACAGGTGTGAGATATAGGTATTTAAAAGATACTGACATGTTACAGCGCGATGCCTTGCCTCATCTTCAGTCACTTGTAATTGTTCTGCTGCGGCCGATTCTTCTTAACGTGACGGCAATCGTTTCACAGCAACCTCAACAAGTACCTCCAGCAATGGGCAGAGGGAACCCTGGGATGAACGGCGGCCCTGCAACTAATAGGCAACAACAGGAAATTCCAGGACAAACCCTCCCAAAACCCCCGACACCGGAATTGACTTTAGAGGAAGTTGATGCTGCAAGGACGCGAGAAATCACATCCAAGGCCATGACTGGAATTCTCATCTTGCTATTGAAATGGCTACGGGTTTCTCGTAAGTTTGATACAGATCTGTCAAGTTAGGCTTGTGGCTAATATTGATCAGACGTCTTAAAATTCGAGTACATGACGCAACTTCTATTGGACTCTAACTATGTCCCTCTCGTTCTTAAACTATTTGCCCATCAAGACGTCCAACAGGTAGTGGACAGCAAGATAGACCGCGTTGAGAACAGGTAAGCGAGGCGCTTCTTAGCATATGGCCGTTCGCTAATCGTTTCCAGTTTCTTCCATTTCTGTAACCTGTTGTCACAATCTCGAGATAAGAGCAGTTCAGATGCGGCACAAGACGATGAAGATGACGAAGAGATAGAAGAGAGCGAAGATGAGGCGGCGCCCCCGCCAATTAAGTTACGGCGTTCGGTGCCCACACAGCACGACGAGGATGCGGACTCTAACAGTGATGGCCAAGCATCCTCTACAAGGCCTGAAGTCGACGAACTCGGTTACCCTCTCAATATGCAACCAACCGAGCCCATAACAGACTTCTCACGTCGCAACTTTTTCTCACTCATCAACTACCTAAGAGTAATGCAAAAGATTTGCAAAAACAAGGCACACCGAAACTTGTTACTTGTTCAGTACAAGTCGTCGACGATTCTGAGAAAGTCCCTCAAAGTGCCCCAGCCAGAGCTGCGACTCTACACACTCAAGCTGTTCAAGAATCAAGTTCCATATTGCGGCCGCAAATGGCGCCAGAGCAACATGCGTGTGATCACTGCGATTTATCTACACTGTCGACCTGAGCTCAAGGATGAGTGGCTTGCGGGAAGTGATGTTGATGCCGAGGTGGATGCAGCGCTTCCTCTGGAGCAGGCATTGCGTAGTCTTACCCACTGGCTCAACATACGACGGTATCCAGACAAGATTGCGCCAGACATTCGAGCTGCCATGCGAGACGAGCAGGACTTTTTCTCGAGGGAGCTAGAGAAGCTGGAATTGAATTGGACAGATGTTGCGGGTGATGAGAACGAGTTAGAACCCGGAGAAGTGTGGTAATTGTTTTTTTTTACAAATGAAGGGGTTCTCATGTGGGTGCTCTTGTTGAGAAATTGAGGTTGTTAACAACATCAATGAGGTGTTTGTATATGAACATCACACAAAGAATAATTCCAAAATGAGCGAATGGAGTTTAATTTTGCTCCATGGATCACTGTCTTCAATAATCACCTAACACGTAAAATTGAGGCACCGGAGTCTGTGTATGTGTGTATATATAATTAATCATTAATGGGCTTGTCAAGCCCTTTCGTTTATCATGGTACGTGAATATGGATGTTCGTAAGTGACCGGTTGCTCTTTCAAGGGCATCCAACCGGGTATCATTCTGGGTTGGTTTCTTTTAATTGTTGTACTTTCCACATTTATGCTTTGCCCTTAGGCGCGATCGTAGACACCATCATCGTAGCGATAGTTTGGGTTCTCAGCCTGACGGACAGGTGGTTGAGTGACACCATACTGGGGCTCGGGGTAGTGAACTTGGCCATAGCCGTCCTGGCGTCCGTGGTTTGGGTCCTGGTAGCCGACGCCGTTATTGTCGTACTTGTTGTAGGTGTTGCTGTTGTCAGGAAAGTTGTTGACAGCTGTGCGGTCGGTAGCATGGCTCTGACGGTAGGTGTCGAGCTGGTCAGGGTGAGCATGCTCGGGCAGAGCATCGTCATTTGCAGCAGTAGTGTTCTTGCGGCGGCGGAAGATGCGGCTGAAAAAGCCACCCTTGGCGCCGTATCCAGAGGTGTAGTCGTTAGCGGGACCAGGACCAAAGCGCTTCTCCTTGCGATGGTGGCGGGCAAGTGCAACTTCGACAAGAATAGACAAGATGAAGAAGATACTAGAAGTATGTTAGTTTTTATATCATCGACATATGTGGTCATGATTGCTTACATAGCGACAATGGAGACGGCTAGACAAGCAGACTGGAGCTTGCAGGCGGTACGGTAGCTAGGCAGCGCAGTGAAGCCATCACTTCCCTCGGCGGTGTTACTGGCCTGGCCACGTCCAAAGGGGGTGTCTAGGTATCCAGTGCAGCTGCTGGCACCACCCTTGTTAGCGACAGCAACGTAGATGAAAGCACCGATAAAGGCGACATCCAGAACAATTGCCAGCAAAGACGAGAGTGTGCGACCGGCTAGACAGCAGAGGAAGAGCAGAGCGGCAGCCGTGTAGAGAACGGCGATTCCTGAGATACCCTCTACAGCACGGATTTTGTTGCTGATCGAGAGGTGGTGATTATGAAGAGTTGCTAGGAAGTAGGAGTAGATGGCGAGGATGAGAGCCGCGCAGGCGAATTGGATGCCTCGGATGAACCATTGAAGGAACTTGAGGCCAGTGCCGGCTTTAGCACCCATGATTAATTATATTTTTGAGGGAATAAAGATATTGATTGGTATTGGTAGAGTAGACCAAATATGTGAAAATAAAGTTGAGGGGGAGGGAACAGTTCTATAAGTACTAAAGGAAGGGAAGGAAGCAAGTGGTTTTCTCAACTCCACCAGCAAGCAAGCTGGAGAAGGCTTGCGCAAGACGCAAGGCATTACGTAGATTGGCCAAGGATAGATGATGGTATGGACCCTTAAAACATGCAACTCTGATTGAATGGAGATGGCCGTGCTTGGGCTGATCATGTTGTAAGTGGCGATGCTAGCAGAGCCGAACTTGGTGATGACGACGAGTGGTGTGTGGCTGAATAGGCTATGGTTGGATGAGAATGGGGAGCACAGCCTTGATTCTTAATTGTAGCGTGGCGGGTATAAAGGGAATGGAAAGGCTGAGTTTTTGTCAGATGACTATATCAATTAATACATTCTTTATTCTTGGAGCACGAGTAAGCAATCGGGCAATTGATATGTTCTTAATCAACTTGAATGATTTACAATAAAAATATTGATGCTGGATCAGAATCTTCAATTATGCTACTTATGCTAGGGTGGAGCAAGTGCCTGCCGATCATCAGGGTCTTTCATCTTCCGACCGGTACTAAATGTTAATGATGTCAACCCTAGCAACCTAGAAACTCGATCGCCCTAAAAAAAAAAAACTTGAACTTTTTGAGGAGGGAGCCGCTTGCAATTAACTCTTTGCTACAAAACCAAAACAGGGACTTGGCAAAAAGAGATGGACAGGGGTTGTTGGATCAAGTGCCGAAAGGTATGTTGTTTTTGTATGCATGTAATCCGATTGAATAGCGGCTCTTTGTGACATGGATAGATGCTCTAGACTACCGATTTGGGGTTCAAATGAAAGGAACAATAAGCAATACTATCCCTGCATTAGATGACTTGTTGTTTTTTCCTCAGCGACCTTGGTTTGAGACACAATGCAGGTTATTTTATTGCATGGATATGCAGTGTTACAGATGAGGCTGTCTGTCTGTCTATGGTGTTGACTATAGACCAAAGTTGGATATAGTTGTCATAGCCCAATACTTAAGTTTATAGGGGGTGCTGCGCTATAACAAGTACTGAGGATTCATAGAGTATTCTGGCGTAAATGATACATCAATCTCAATACTTTACAAGATAGGTCTTTATTTGTGCTGATTTTCGGTTAGGTTGTTAATAAGACTATTATCTGGTCTACCTTGTACCCCGCCGTAGTAATAGACGCCATCTCCTTCTCTACTGCCCCGCGACGCGTCCAAATACATTCAACATCTACACATCAGGAGTCACCGTCTCTAACAAAGACAGAAGATAACAAAAATGGCCGATACAGCAGGCGATGAGAATCGAGAGGTACAATCCTGATTTAATGCTGGTTGCCTATATAAAACTAACCCAACCCCCCAAAATTAGCGTCTCAAGGCTGCCCTGTGGTACGCTGTTGGCCAAATCGTCGATGAAGAGTCCCTCCGTCGCAACCGCAACGCCACACCGCAATTCATCGGTGCACTCACAGAACTTGTTTGGACACAAATTGGTAGGAAGCTCCCTTCTTGATTACAGTTCATATTAGGAGAGTGCGCGCTAATCATCATAAACAGAAAATGTGGCCACAGATCTAGAGAGTTTCAGCAATCATGCAGGCCGTTCAACCGTCACAACAGATGACGTGCTACTTCTTGCTAGAAAGAATCCTGATTTACATCAAATCATGAAGGAATTCGTTGACCAGGCCAAGGCGGAGAAGGGAACCTTCAAGGGTAGACGAGGTGCAAGCAAACGATAGTGTATTGGGAATGGGTATCAACGGAGTCTGGAGCAACGAAGCTATTTACTTACAGAGAAGAACTCGCTATGACCAATATACAGTAAAATTGATTCAAACCCAGCTATATATGCGTCTATCATCTATGTGGGGGTTTTTAATACATGTCTATATCGCCTTAGACCTTGATGGATGACTGTCCCGAGTACTTTTCCCGGTACTCAGACAGCATATTCAACGTAACACCAGAACCACCACAGACCACAAACACCACATTCTTCTTGTTCCATTCTTCATCAGACAAACCCTCCCCAAGAGCCTTCCTTAAGTCTCCTCGATAAGCAACCGCCAAGGCTGCACCGCACGCTACCTCAACCAGTTGTCGTCCATCGTCCGCAAAACGTACAGCACTTAGGGCAGCATCTGCGTCAGACACAACAAGACTCTTCATCGTCCCTGAATGATGCTGACTCCACTTCCACGTCTGCTCAGACACTCTTGTAGCACCGAGGGATGTTGCGATTGAAGTCATCTCAGGCAGTGTTACGTGCTCGCCGGCGAGAACACTTGCGTTAAGACTGTCGGCTCCCTCGGTCTCAACAGCCAGAACAGCGGGCTTTGCGCCTAGCCAGGGACGGCTCTCGACACCTTGCATCAAGCCGTTGACTAAACCGCCGCCACCAACGCTGCAGACGATACCATCGACACGACCCTCAAGCTGATCCCGAATCTCGTCCACCATAGTTGCTGCTCCATCCCAGATTCGAGGGTCGTCGAATGGCGCGACATAAATAGCCGAAGGATCTTTGGCTACCAGCTCTTCGCGCATGTACTCATCGCACTCGGCCCAGTTCTTACCTTTCTGGTGTACCTCTACTCCCAGATCAAGTAGCTTTCCCTTCATGAGTGGGCTGATAATAGTAGGCATAACGATTGTGGCCTTTTGGCCGAGCGAAATAGCAGATGTTGCGCATGCCAGACCGGCGTTGCCACCTGAAGAGCAGTAGAAATGAACAGGACCCGTGGCAGCAGCAGCAGCTTGGGTCATTAGATTACCAATTCCACGGGTCTTGAAAGAGCCTGACGGTTGAAGGTTTTCAAGCTTGAGGTAGACATTGCTTGGAAGGTGTTAGTCAATTCACTCGGAAGTAAAGGTGAATAGAAGAGGGGGTGTAACATACCAGCCTGTAAGAAGAGATAATTGAGTGCTGAGAAGACATGGTGTCTTAATCCATGGCAATTTAGCGTCAGAGCCTAGAGATCCCATGATAAAGATTGTATGTGTTGAAGTATCGGAAAAGTGAGTATTGATGGAGAATAAGATATAGGGTGAGATGGAGGCGAATATATTACCGCTCTTAACTCCGAGAATCGGCCTGAACGCGCCCTTTTAAAGGTATGGACGGTTCTTCACTAAGCTAAGGAATTAAACAGCTGGGCTTTAGACTGCATTGACAGAATTGACAGAATTGATTTGAATAATAAAACTGTCAGGCTTTGGAACAGTCTTTTCATACGTCTAGTGTCAACAGTCAGTTAAATTTGAGCGACCTTAATTGGAGATCCAATAGATCAATTCAGATCTTGTGCATGTCCAAGAATTGTATCCACTTGACAACCGAAAGGCGCAAAATGGACTACATCTCATCCTTCGAAATCGTTCCAGAATGCAGATTACTTACACTTGTTGGGAAGTCTGAGTTACATAACTAAGGGACTTTTGTGGGAGTCAACGCTCAACCATATTATGTTTCTATAATCTTCTTTACTTTTCCTTAAAGTAGAATCGAGGGAAAGAAACAATCCTAGCCTTATTTCTCAACATCTCACTTACTTCAGCCTTGGTTGAGATCAAGTCATTAAACTAGGATAAGATAGTATGTGTTTCAATGTTAGAAAGAGTCAGATACGGTATATCGACCCAGAGTCTGCCTCCTATAAGAGTATCTGCCAAGTTTTGCTATCGTCATGTTGTCAATGTGACTGTATTAGCATAGGAACGAAAACCAACGCTCTTTCATTTGGATTATCTGGCGTTAATAAAGTAATTGTTTAGTTTACCAGCAGAGTCTCTTGGATTTGGAAGAATGCTGTAGTAGATATTCTACCTCAGTGATCGCGACATCTCAAAAAACGTATGCACTAGTAACCCCCCTTTCTCCTAAGATATCCGGAGGCTTAGGAAAGATTTACGGCTCCCCTTTTCCTAAACTACGTGAAGCCTCAAAAACACAAACTTATGGTTTCTCTCGTCGCCCAATTCCTAATTCCTCATTCCCAGTTCACCAATTCCCATTCTCTGACAACTGTGAATCACGGACGATCTATGTCTGTGTATATATAGGGCCATACTTCCTTCAGACTCTTCCTCCCTTCTTTCACACCATTCTAATGTATCATGTCGTCCACAGCCACGGCCAGTCCTGGAACTGATACGAGAGCCAGCTCAGTCGCTTCAAGTAACAGCAAGAGAAGCACAGAGAGCACCGAAAGCTCAGGTGAAAAACGCCCAAAGAGATTGAGAATCGAAGCACCTCCCCTGCATGAATTTACTAAGGAGTATGGAATTCCCATGAACCAATTTGCCTGGGGCGCTCGTCCAGAAAGTTCCGACGAGGAATCGTTTGATGAAGATGAAACGAACATTCCTCCCTCTATCCCGAGGTATTTTCGCAAGTATCCAAAGCCAAAAGGAAAGACTAGACGTCCCGTCAATTATGCTCATCGTGCCATCCTCCGCAATTATGCCACCATGAGCCCTCAACCTGCTCCCGCTCCCGCTCCCCAGCTTCGACCTCAAGCACCAAGCGAAAGAAGCCTGCTGGACTTCCCTGTCGAAATCCGAGAGGAGATTTATCGTGGTCTTCTCGTTTCCCACAAACCCGTTCCCGTCTACGACGGCTGGAAGAGGGTCTACGCGCGAGAGAAGCCCTGTCTGGACATCAATATCCTTATGGTGTGTAAAAAGATCTTCAACGAAGCCATTGGCGTGCTCTATGGCGAGAACACCTTTCTCTATCGCCTTCGCGATATGCCAACGCAGTCCCACGTTATGGTCAACATCCAAGAGCTGGCCCAAAGCAACGCTTATGTTCCGGAGCGAGGTCACAGAGAGACCTACGCCGACATGTTTGATGACGACGAAGTAGAGGCGGTCCATGAACCTGGGACTATCAACGTCAAGAAGTACGCCTGTCTGTTCCGCTACATTACCTTACAGGCCGATCACAACCGATCTCAATACTATACTCAGGAATTCATGGCCGATGCCATCAATATGTTTGTCCAGGCACCTAGCATGACAAACATCCACACCCTGACCATCATCATCAGCCCCCGTTACACCCGCGGCAGCTTTACCTTCGTCGACTGGTTTAATTCAAAGTCAGAACTTGTGAGTGCGCTCAAGGCAGTGTGTTGCGAGATTATTCGTATCAAGATCTGGAACAAACACCTCAATGATGGTATCGATCCACTCTCAACCGAACTGTTCCTGCGCGCCCACCACCTACGGTTCTTCAGACAACTCAAGAAGAAAAGACTTCAAGACGGAAAACCAGACATCTGGGCCGGGGATTGGAAAATGGAAAGGCTTCGTCTCAAGCGATGCCGCGAGGTCATCAGCAGCTTGGACAAGCTTCGATCTTGCGTACTCGAAGCTTGCAAGAAACACCTTGAACCAGATGTTAAGCGACGAGGCGATCTCGGGGACGCAGATGAGGATGAGGATGAAGACGAAGAGAACTGGTTTGCCATTTTCCCAGACGAAGTGACGAACAGTGAGGCCGAAGAGGAAACGGACGAGGATTTGGACGACGAGTTTGTAGACGATAATGACTCGGATGGCTCGGCTTGACTCGTGGGTTGAGACAATCTTTGGGCTGGACGATTGACTTGAGACAGGCGTTCACGGAGTTGAGAGACATGGGATGGTAAATGAGGCGCTTATTGAAGGCAGGGGCGGACAGGCACACAGGCAGGGGATCGATCGATAAACTTGCTAAAGCAGGTGGCTTGGGATTCGATATGCTCAATTAATTATTGCTCTCGGGGTATTTTCATGGCCTGTTTTATCTTGCTCGTGGCTGTCCTATATAATTGCTCTTATGTAGATATCTTGATCCTCTCTACCTCAAGTGTTTCTGTGTCGATCAATACTAACTCTTTTGTTGCCGAGAAGGACGGGACGGTGACGAGTCTCACCGATTGTCCCTCGGGGCCTTTAATAACCTTTGTTGAGAATTTTGGTTGGTTGCCGACGAAATAGAGATGAGGACATGTTTGCATAACAAATGGATCGTCATCTTGAAATGGATAGCTCCCTAGACAGGTGGTTAGACAAATACAACAGTGACTAGGCAGGTGTTTACTTACATAGTGTATCAGGTGCAGTCGGGGCACAGCATCGCCATCGGCACATGGCTTCCATCATACCGAGACGGTCATCACTGTTGACGTACTTGAAAACGTCGTCAACATTCTGACCACCGGTGCCCAGAACACGCCACCCTTCAACCTCGGCTTCCCAAGGGTTTGTGACAGTATCGAGCCAGCCTGGCTGGTCAACAGGGGCAGTTGGATCGCGGGTGTAAGCTCGAGCTACGGGAAACATTGCAGGATGCACAGGCTGTTGTGGGTAACTAGCATTCGCAGGATCCTGTGCACCAGGAAGCATTGTAACGGGAATGGACGGGAGGAGCTCAGCGACAAAAGCATCAAAGAGCTGAGAAGGGAGGGGGTTATAGGCACTGGCGTCGTAACCATATTTCTTCTGGCCCTTCTTTTCTGGGAGTGCCTCGTCTGCAGCTGCAGGTTTTCGATCTGTTGTCAAGATGGAGTTTCCAGCGATGATAAGACGGCTGATGTGAGAGACATCGATCTGGCTGGAAGGGCCTAAGGCCTCACCGAGCAGATACTCGAGAAGAAGATCAAGCTCAAGAGCATAAGAAGCATCAGTTCCCGAAAAGGATAAGCCAGACACAATGGCGATCTTCTTGTTTCCCTTTTTCTTGTCAGAAGCGCCAGCCATCTCTTCGTCTTCGTCCTTCGTCTTGCTCTTGTCCGACATAGGTTTCGAGAGACTCCAGCGTTCGGGTTGAGGAGGCAGGTCCGGGAATTTGATGTCAATGATTTCAAACTCTCCATTGGAGTTTTCGGTACCCAAAACTCCAACAATGCATCCCGTTACAAGGTGTACTTTTTCGAGAAGGTCACCAACCAGCCTGATACGGCCTGATTCGTCCTCCAACATAATTTGGTCGTCGTCGGAGAAGTATTTGGGCATCGAAATGGGAGCAGAGATCCAGCGCTACGAACTCAAGTTAGCGCTTCATGAGTGGCAATCAGAAGGAATGGTTGTCGTACGTCCTTGGAAACGTCCTCTAGAATATTCGGCTTCAGGGGCATTTCCATATATACGGTGCCGGTCACGTAGCACAGCTCTCCTTGGCGAACATCAAGGACACGGTCAACTCGCTGAGCCTCCTCATCGCCGACGGTTGTTCCGTCCCAGGCTGTAGCTGCTATCTGATCGACAGCCGGCTTGATCTTGGTAAGACGCAGGAAGTACATGTCGCCATACTGTTGCTTATAGGAGCGTTGCTTGTCAAGGGCGAAGGAATTCAGTGGCTTGTAAGCGGAAGCGCTTCGAGAGGGGATTTCGTGGGCAGCGTCACTGTGGTTATATTGGTTAGAGCTTTCGTTTCTGTTGGAATAGTCGGTAGGGCTTACGATGGCTTCTGGAGGAGGAGGCTGCCCTCGACCTCTTCAAGGGCTACCATCTTGGATGATGCCGAGATGGAGGGATGGGATCAGGATTATGAGGGTTGGAGATGACACGAGGTAGTTTCTTCGAGTCTCATGTATTCGATCATGAATGTATTGGCGATATGTCTCGAAATTGTGTAGTTGAAGCTATCGTCTAGTGCAGGAAAACGCGTGAAGGAGCTTTGGTCCCCATTTAGACGCGAATTTCTGGCGTAAAGTGGCTAGGCAACGGATAAGGGACTGATAGTAGGTACAATTAATTATTCTAGTTAGGGTATGACGTACTGGACTTTAGGGCGGTGAGTCCACTGTAGTAAATCCATACTTAGAGGGGTTCTTGGAGGTCGGGCCAGTGAAATCCATGGACCTCTACATACATAGTACACATTCTTGGCATTTGTTATAATTGTTGATAAAAAGGTTGAATGCCTGAATGCATTGCTAGAAACAGGATATGAAGAGGTCATCGAAGAAGTATCATACCGCAACTGAGACATCTAGGTGAAGCCTTTGGAGTATGAGTAGTACCTACCTACCTACTAATACAGGTAACTAACACATCACGGTAAAGTCTTGACCCACTGGAACTTGCCTACTATCTCATGTCCATTCATCGGACCCCGCCATCCACCGGTTGAGGCGTTCTGCTTCAGAGGGGAAGGGAAATCTCTGACGCACCACCTCGTCCAATTATACAACTTCGTAATCTCAGACTAGACCTAGGGACTCTTCTAGTTCTTCGTATTCTTTATAAACTTTTTTGATCCCTCACTTCTGACCATTTGTCTCTCTGCCTATAAACATATCTCAGCATCATCTCATTCACCCCTCATCATGACTACTCCTCCCAAGCCCCCTCGTGTCGAGGTGAACAAGCTCTCATACACGTTCCCTGACTACTCAACTGGCGTTAACAACATCACTCTTGACCTGCCTCCGCGATCCCGTACTCTTCTCATTGGTGCCAACGGTGCTGGTAAGACGACTCTGCTCCGTCTCCTTGCCGGCAAGCGCCTTGCACCCAGTGACACCATCTCTATCTGTGGAGTCGATCCTTTCAAGGATGGTCTAGAGGGTGTCACTTATCTCGGCCTCGAATGGGTTCTCAACCCTATTGTCCGAACTGACATTGGCGTCAACGAGCTGCTTCGCTCCGTCGGCGGTGATGCGTACCCTGATCGTCGGGATGAGCTCGTAGCCATGCTCGACGTCGACACCAACTGGCGCATGCACGCTGTTTCTGATGGCGAGCGTCGTCGTGTTCAGCTTGCCATGGGTCTTCTGAGGCCCTGGACTGTTCTTCTTCTCGATGAGATCACTGTTGATCTCGATGTCCTGAGCCGTGCCGAGTTCCTCGCTTGGCTTAAGCACGAGACAGAGATCCGGGAGTGCACAATCGTTTACGCTACCCATATTTTGGATAACCTTGCTGGCTGGCCTACTCACCTCGCGCATATGCACCTCGGTACTGTCAAGGAGTGGGACGAGGCCGACAAAATGCTTGCCACCATCGATGGCACTGTCGGTGCCTCGGGCAACAGTCGTCTTGGAGAGCTCGTCCTGGGCTGGCTCCGAGATGACTTGAAAGAGCGAGGACCACGAAGCAATGCCAACCGTGGCTCTGAAGGCAAGACGTACGGTTTCGGAGGAATCCAAATTGGCGGATATGGCGACGAGTCTAAGCCGCGTGAGGCATAAATATTGCGTCGACCAGCCCACCCCGAGGCACCTTCATCGAGACATTTTTAACAATCGTCTTGAGTTTCGATTTATTCTTTGTTTGGAGTTTGGAAAGACGGGCGGCACTCAACTGCATTGTTTTCGGCGTGGGATGGCGATAAAAGGCGGATGACATTGGTATTTATTATTCATGCATGGCGTTCGATATGGTAGGAAAGCAGTCCCTCAACCCTGTACTCCACGGCGTTTGATCTTCAACACTTCATGCATGATAATGAGCGCGGTTTTCAAGGTGTCCTTAATACAATTATTCATACCCCATTTCAACCAAGGGGAAGTAGACTTTAGTCACTTCAACTAGACAGGTCTTATTCTGGATCCAGATACAAAGAATGATATATTCGTCTTGACATCATGCACCGTCACTGCGCCGTATTCGGTCTCGTGCTTCCACCGTCTATCAACTTTCTTAAAATTGTCATAGTGTTCTTGAGCAGGTCTGTGATACCAGCAAGCTCCTTTGCGCTGAGTTCCTCCAATGCCTTGATTCGATAATCTTGCCAGGAGATGCGTATACCGCCAGAACCTACAAGCTGCCCCAGACTACTCTGTGTCGGTGGTCCTTCATGCCTGATACGTAAAGGTGTACCGCTGTTGATCTCAGCATTTTCGAGATCTTGTATGCACCGCGTGCTCTGCAGGCATAGGAGTGGCGAGTACGACAATGAAAACAGGGAGGTCAAAGTAAGAGATTTATCCACAGAAGTTATGTATGAAGACAGTCTGGGGACGAGACTTCTTGGGATCAAGCAGCCCTGTGCATTTGGATCATTGTCGGTGAACGCCTTACCTCGCCAAAAGCAGTTACACATATCCATGAGATATCCATTAAAAAGACTCACGAAGACCCGGTTATAGGATGAGGAGTCAATGCGATTGCTTCCATCCCGTTTTGGTTTCGTCAGCATGGCCATCTCAAAGCCCTTTTTATAAGAGGCAAGGATAGCACAAATACGTGACATAATAGCGACTGAACTGCTAAAGAAGAGTATATATATCAGATGTGAGGGAGGCAGCTCGATGCGAATATAGTACTTCAAGGTTTCGTGGCTGATGAGTCGGGAGTTCTGCTCATAAAAGTCGAGGATGGCGGAACGTGCTGAGACAGAGGTAGATGTTTGGGCGATACTAAGGGCCAGAGGGTTGACGTGTCGAATCAAGTCAGCAACGGCTTCACTAGCATAATCTGGTATGGTATCGGCGGATTCAAGAACCACTGTCCAGTGGTGAAGGATGTTTCTGTACAAGCCAAGGACGGCTAGTTGAGATCCAGGGATGTTGTCAAATACCGCTTCCTCGAGAGGCTTGAAAATGTGTTGGTATAGTCCTGGCGGGCGTTAGTGTCTTGGTCGCATTAGAAGAATCGGAGTTGAAACTAACTTTGAAAGTCAAGCAACGGGGAGTAAGATAAGATCGCAAGTATTGAGTCGCGGTGTTGAGAACCGTCCCAGAGCGGAAGAAAGCGGGCGAAGAAGTCAAGTAGGAGCGAGGGGAGAATCTGAGCGTGGTCAGCATGAAACTGGAAAAGGATTTTGTATAGAAACGCGCCTTGGTCGAGACAACGTAGTCTCGGAAGATATCCAATATCTCAAAGAAAGTGGCTTCATCTGCATCACCGTCCTGAACATCTTGAAGGGCAGAGTTGAGCCAATTTGCTATTCTTTGGTCAGACTCACTACTTGGTCGCAGAACCATGAGCTTTTGCAACAACGGGTCTGCCAGGACGGCAACTAGCTGATTAGGCAACTCTAGCTTGTCAATACCCTTAACAAAACCAACAACGCTTTCAATTTCCTCCAATGTAACAGCATCCTGATGATATCAGTAGTTGACCTTTGGCCTTGTGGTGTTGACGAACCTCTGTCACATGAGACGTGTGAACCAACGGGATGGTCTTCTTCCGGATAGCACGGCCAATAGGACGATATACACGAAAACCATCTCTTGGTCTCAATACACCTTCCTGGGATTTGTAGAAATGTGCCTCCTGGATCTCGTCTAACCTATCTCGCCATTGTGGATCAGGGTGCTAGCAACATGTCAACAGAGAGACGCCCGGTGATTCTTTGGACGTACCTTGAAAGAAGATGCTTTACCGCGAACGGCTTCTCCTACAATAACCTCAGGGTAATAGTCTTTGAAGACTTTTAAAAGACCGATCAAAGAAGGATCGTTCCCTGTTTGTCTTGAGAGATTGAGTCTATTTGTGTGAGCTAAAAGTAGAGAATCAAGGGTCCATACTCACAATGCTTGAATTCGAAAAGGACGTACGTGCTTACGCCTTGTGATGAGAGCAAGAAGATGGCTCAGATTAGGACTGAGGCAAATTAGCAGAAAGTTGATGGTAGAGACAAGGGAAGTTACCGGGTGGCTGCGGTATCGAGGAGATTGAAAAGAACGGGATAAGCCTGAGAAAGCACCTGTGGTGATTCCAAAGTATGGTGAACGGTAATAAGCCATTTGATGAGAGCCGCCTGGAGTGTCAGAGATGGCTTGAGAGTTCCGTGACCAAGACAAGAGACGACTCGAAGCACAGAATCTCGAGACACGGCCTCGGCGGGGTAAAGGTTTCTAATGATAGCAGCCTGACTTGCTTGATCCAGATAGTTTGGTGTTGTGACAAGGTTGACGAGACTGTCTAGAGTCTCTGGCAAAAGACCCCATTCATAAGACAGTGAGGTGAGATTGGTGATGGTGGGTTTGATACTAGTCGCGCGTGTTTTGGCGGGTACTTTGGACGCTGTGTATGCTATGAGTAAAGGCCTTGGTGAATGTTATCATGGTAAACTCACATTCAATAACATCATCCACAAGGAGGCGAAGCTCTTGGTGGCCCGCCTCGGCGGGATCAGTGTCTGTTTCCATACGCTGCGTTGCGTGCGCAAGCTCTACATGTACACGCTCCGGAGCCGAGCGGCAGATATCGGGGCTTGGTAGTGAGTGTTGCTATGAATGAGTGGGACACTCCGGAAGACGCGTCGGCCATAAAGACGCGTTTTCGGGTTTCGGAGGACAAAACTGTGGATCTAATTCGGAGTGGGGCCAGAACAATTCAGATAATAATAGCAGATTAAATAGAATGGGATGTAAGAGTCTCACGATGTTGGGTTAGGCATATCTTTGACTCGCCATCAAGTGTTGGTCAATCAAGTTGCTATGGCTCCCTGCATCGGACAAGATCTACCTTGTTGGCCTATTTTACTGTCAAAGTCGTGGGACGTGGGACAAATCGAGACGAACCGAGTTTAATTCAACCTCTGGCAACTTGAAGCTTGACAACTCTAGTTTTTGCCAATGCCGATTTGCGATAAATAATGCGCTGCCCATCTTGTGTCGTACCGTATATGTTGGCGCCATGGCAGAAGTACCATTTGCTGTACACCTGTAAGGATGGGCTTCGGCAATGCTCATATCCAGACACATTTTTAGCGATCATTTGGCCGCGGCATCGGCATCGTAAACACACTCAATTTAAGTTTTATGCAACCCTCTTCTACCAAACACAGAACCTTTGCCAATGTACCTAAGCAAGCTGGTGAAGACGGGCCGTTCCTGCCGTACTTTTGCAACGTTCCTACCTTAGACTAACCAAAAAGCATATGTAGTTCCTTCCATTTTGACATTGATTTCCAAGAGATGGAATGGAAGTCACAGCCCGGTTAAGATGTAGGTAAGCAAAGAACTCTGCCCTGTACCACTCCTCAGCTGAAATAGAACTTCTTTTCCTTTTATTTTTCTTAAATCAATATATCGCTTTAATTTCCCTCTGATGTTTGCTTCATTTTTCTTTTGACGTTGGCACGATGCAGCCATTACGACACTATCCGTGTACTAAGCCTCCCTGTGCCCGCTGTCCATAGGCTCATCAAAGCCATGGCTGATAATTCGCTTCCAATAAACGCCCCTTCCCCGTGGATCGGAAATGGCATTTTCATGGTTGTACGGCGGTCAAACTTCACCTAGTCTGTACGACCACCGCCGTGTAAGAAACATCACCCATGCGCGCATGAGTACGGTCTCTCTATGTCCTTGATCCATCCTACTGGGCACGGATACGCTCTGGCAAACCACCTACAGACATTTCTCAAGAATGCCTTCAACAAACCAGCTTGTACTATTGGCCAACGCCTTGTTCTTCTTATCCCTATCTTGGCCGTTGCTCTGATGGAAGACCAGGGCGGAATGGCTGGTCGAGCCAGTGGTCAACCAAGAGGCATGCGTCTCTGTTTCTTGATCGCTCAAGTCTCCCTTTATATCACCCAAAACGCTACGCAAGCTATAGCAACCGTGTTGTAAACCACGCTGGAAGCAAATGCTAGTCATATGTTACTCACTACATACACTGCTTTGCTGTGAATGAAACTCCCGATTTTACCAACCTGCATCGCTGTGTCACCGCTGGACAATCTCTCGCATGCGCAGTTCGAACCCGCTGTGGCCGTGTCACGGATCCTCGCCTTCGGCAACCCCATTCCGTCAATCTTGAGAATCCCACACGAATGAGACGCTCTCTATACCACAAGTCAATAACCACCAACTGATCTAGGCCAAGGCTAATAATTTTGGTCTGGCAACCCTGCCCATCCGATCCTGGCAATTGGAGAGCTATTGTGTACCCCTGGCGCTTCATAGCGGCTGATTGCAGATACCAAATTCATGTCACAGCCTTCGTCTCATCAACCCCACACTCATTTAATCCTCATCCCAGTGGTTTGGATGGCTGACCGACTGTGCAGGACCCTAGCAGGCGCCCTAAAAGTCACATATCGTCGTCACAAACCCGCATTTATAGATCGTTGACTTGCTTATTTTCCACTGACCTTTGTTTAATGAACCGAGAGATTCTTCCTCTCTCTCGTCCACTTTCATGTCTACCTGGCCTGACTTTAAAATCGACTTATGCGAGTGTCAACTATCGAGTGGTCCCTCTCGTTGCGCAAGCATCCACATCAGCCCCCAACAATCATATACAGATTTCTTTGACCGCGCACAAATTTGACCACGATTGCACGTCTTCGTCACTTCCTTTGTCATCAGTTACAAATATCTTTCTGGAGCTGATTTATGCCTAAGGGGGTTGGGTGCTTGTGGAGACCGCACACTTAACCGGGACGAACACAAGCAGACTTGATTGAAAGTCCAGTTTGGCCATGTGATTGCATTACCCTTGACATTGCATACAGCTGTAAACAATGTCAAACTCGCAGGCTCAAAGCTCACTGGCTACGTTGTTATGGGACCATCAGAACCTTATCCCCCTACAAAAGAATCTTGGGGATGAAGATTTAGTTTTGCTTTTAACTCCAGCTGTTGTTCCCCTAGATCCAAGTCTCGCCCGTGCAACTGATCCCTTTCAACCTCTTGGCCAAGCACTTTCACAGACACATCCCTGGATCCGGCACGTTCCTTATATCAAAAAGTATGGTATTACTGGTACACATGTGGCATTCATCAAGAGAGCACGAACCATTGTCTTCGTGCTGAGCGGATTCTCATCCGATGAGGGTGCTCTTCAACTAGAACTCGCCGACACAGTTCGAGAGGTTTGCGAGGAGCGCCATTTCGTTTTGGTGGCATGTTGCGAAGTCCTCAAAAGCAGAGCCGAGGAATACGAGTTCCAAACTGTAGTGCAGTGTTCAGGATATCTGGTATCCGACTTGCAAGCCGTTGCCGCTCTTTTAACAACTGAACGATCGAAGAATTCCGATAAACCAATTATCGACGACCCTCCTCCACCACAAACTTGGCCAATTGTCAAATGGGATTATAATAACGATCTCTCAGAAACACACGCCTTATGGAAAATATCTTTTCCTGCTAAGTTTCATCTCAATCGATCAACTCTTGGTTCCCTCTTGAAACGCGATGGCTATGCGATGCACTATATCATTCGTGAACCTCGGAACGGAAGGGTTGTTGCGTTCTGCGCTACTTTTACGACATTTACAGATAGCAGTGGTGATCGTTTGATTGGATCCATAGCAGCCATCATTGTCCATAAAGATTACCAAGGCCGGGGAATCGGTCGCAGGCTTCACAATGAGGTTGTGGGCAAGCTTAACGGGATTCGAGGAGTGGGCGTCATTCAACTTGGCAGCACATTTCCCAGACTACTTTACGGCTTGCCAGCTTCCATGGCTAGCACAGAATGGTTCGAGAAATTGGGATGGAAGTTGCAGGAGTCTATACCTGGTCATGGCCGGCTTGTTATAGATTGGCTCTTGAGATTTTCCAATTCTCCTGTTCCCGATTTGGCTTCAGCTGGTCTAACCTTTAGGCCCTGCCAACTCTCTGATTACCAGCAGGTTATAGAGATTGCGACCAAAGAGTCACAGAAAAGACATGGGTTCGGATGGTACGACCAATACGCCAAAACTATGGACAGCTCTTATATGAATGACATGGTTGTTGGCCTTGAGGGAGACAACCTGGTTGCAGCGGCAATAACATACTTTCCCAACGACGGAAGCCCCTGTGGTACAGACATCCCCTGGCCAGCTGCGATAGAACAAAATATTGGAGGCGTTTCGTGTGTCTGCATTAAAGGCAAGTCACTAGATAATCGTTGAACTGCACTAACTGTCCATCAGATGAAGATCCAGACATGGTCAACCGCCGAGACTCAGTAATAACTCGATTGCTTCTGGCATGCCGTCAGATCATGAGCGAGAGAGGGATGGTGGGAATGTTTGTTGATGGCAGTAGATACGACGAGAACGTACTACAGTCGCTAGGTAAGGATGGAAAACCAGGCTCCTATGTCTGCACTTTCTCACTCGTTGTTTCTTAGGGTTCAACAAATGGGCAGAATACAAGGAGGTGTGGCGTAAAGTCTGAAACGGAGAGTTTCTCCTGAAATAGAGGCTACGCACAAATGACCAACCAGTTTAAGACATCAGTATAACAAGAGAGATGTTGAGGAAGATTCGTCTCGAACCCAGAAGAATGTCTCGACGAATTTGAACCGCACCCCGACTTCTGCGCATTTACAGGTATTTCCTCTCTGGGTACTTATCAATCCCATCTGTAAAACTGCAGAGCGTCCATTTCCCCTTCGAATCTGTTCTCTATGGGATTGATGAGCTTATTGGATAGTGGAAGTCCAAATCATAACCCTTGAAAACCAGGTGGCAGGGACTGAATGATCAGAGCAGCATGCCCCTTGACTCTATCATGAGAATCTCTGATCATCCAGGAATGAAAATGCGCCATACTGGTCGTTTCAAGTCGATAAGATTAGAAGAACCTCGGGTCTTCCATACAAAGAGCATCACGGATCATTCTACTGATACAAACCATTCAGTACAGAATGTAAATTGTCTCTCCAGGCCCGTGCTTCGACATTCACTCAAGAAAGCTACGTGGCTGACAGGGATGTCATAACGTGGCTCCAGTCTGTCTGTGATGGATCTACAATCTACAAGTCAGTATTTGCAGACCATTTTGTTTCCCACATGCGAATGCTCCCACCTGACCCGATATGACCCGACTTAACTGCACACCCTGCTTATACCGAATATACCATTCATGCTACAAAGTAGCCTTATATCAGATTCCGTGTCTTTATCGCTGGCTCACGGGGAAAAGGTCGGCGGTTGAGGAGCAATGCCAAGTGGGATCCGCATGTAGGCGTACTACAAGGGTTACCTTAAAGCTGGATGCCGTTTGCCTGATAGCAGCCATACGCAATGGCCCAGGCTATTTCGTACTACCCACATTGATACCACTCAACTACATATCCTGTATACGTACTGAGCAAGTATGGATTTGATTCTTGCTTTGCTTGGTTGACACTTCATCGGCGGCCGCACCTGTGCAACTATAACACCTGATACATCCTTTTACTGTTAGCTACTAAATAGACAATCCTGTAGAAAGTCGGTTTGAGACAGTAAGATGTAGAAATGAGCCAAGCAGAACAGGTAGTGCAACTATACCGAGTGACGTTACACAAAACAACATGGAAACAACATTTTCTTCTTTTTTTTTTTTTTTTTTTTTTTTTTTTTTTTGCATTGCCTGACGAAGTTGAATGAGCTCTGGCCGTAGACTTGTATATAGGCTTTCAAAAGGTGGTTCGAACTATTGAACAACTTTTTAGTCGGCATGTGTGAGTGAACTAATGCTGAGCTAAGACAACCATAATATTTGGAGCGCATTCTCGCAGTCTAAGAATGGTATACTTTGAGCCACGTATCTATAGCTCAAGGGTATATGTATCAAATAGATCCACAAGTAGAAATGGAAACAAACGTACTTAAAAACAAGAACTTTTGATTACCCCCCAAAACACCCTTACGTAGATAGACGCCTTCCGCCATTTTTTCCAATGACATGGATGAATTTCTGTAGTGTAACTCCTTTTCCCACTGTCCACATCCCATTCATTATCATATCTCTTAAGCCCATTTGGAGAAGTCAACAGTGTCTGTGTTTGAATCCTGCCCATGTACTGTCCCAGCCTCGCTATCGTTGGTCGTGGTGGACGACGATAACATTGAGGACCGATGTGAGGTCTGCTCACTTGTACTTGTGAAGAAGGTGGCCACACTTGTGCGACGGAGGCTGGTGAAGCTATCACGAACGGTGCTTGCCGGTCGCGACAAAGACGCATCGACTGACGGTAAAAGTTGCTGCTGTTGGTGAACCGGAGTCGCACCTCCAAGAGACGAGCTTTGCGAGGCCGAGGGTGTCAGTTGCCCAGATTTGGACGGCGTATATTTCTCCCGTAGCCTCTTGATGGCGCGTAGACGGCTCCTCCAAGAGCTGACATGCTCACCACCTTCGCGATTGGCCCAGACATGAGAAAACACAGAAGCGTTGAGAGCCAACAGACGGATCAGACCTGGCAGAGCCTTGAGTGACACAATCTTCATTTCCGAGGCCGGTGATATCTCAGGAAACCCGGGTTTGCTTAGAACCTGTACGCGATAGAAGGGTTGGCTGTGTTTCGAAGTGTCTCTAGCAGCAATGAAAGAGGCCCTAGATGCTGGTGTGATGACAATATGAACAAAGTTGAAATCCCCCGGGAATGTATCGAATTTGAATGGTAGACCTGAGTCGTTGAAGACGATGTTGACAAAGTCATTGCCAATGTGGCGCTTCTTCATGGTGCACCTCGGGTCGTGATCCAAGTTTGTGGGCATCTGTGTCGTCACATGAAAAACGATCTCTGTGACACGATCACGCCAGCAGAAAGTATACTGGCCATCTGTGTCAAATTCACGGTCCAATCCGTGAGTATTGAAGGTGGCTCCTTTAAGCTTGGTCAGCGTGCCAAGATTGTTCAAAAACTCCATGTAATCACTGCTGCCCGAGACGTTGCCAAGGATCTCAACTTCGTCAGTCTGCCCTTCGCCAATATAGATGACGCCAACTTTGTGGCCGTCAACAGTTGAGCTTCGATCAAAAACCCGAATAGCTCTCTCGACTGCGTCATCTTCAGGTAGCGGGATTGGTCGTGCTAGATCATGGCCCTGCGGGATAGATGACATGAGCTGTACCATGATGTGGCTGGGCAAAATAGTGTTAGTCGAGACCTGTCCCTCTCTGCTGATGTCGACATAGTTTGGAGTTTGATGAGGTGGTGGTGGATCAAAAGTCTCTCGGATTGTGAATGCCGAGGTACCTGAAGGTTGCCTCTTGACAATCTGAGCCCACCCTGTGGTTGTTGCCTGTCTGACCGTAACGATACTATATCCGACTAACCATCTTTTCTTAACGATCTCGCCAAACCGTTCAGAAGTAAAGAGGGGGTCTTGAGAAGACTCTTCCACATCAGCATACGTATATCTTTGCATGAAGTCGATTGAAGTTAATGCTTGTTCGTTATCGGTGTTGCCATCCTCCACCTCATTATATATGTTCCTGACAAGCCAACCAACGAGGTTGGCACGATCAGGCAGTTTTAGTGCTAGGAACCAGAAGAGAATAACATGGTACGCCAACGCATACACATATTGAGGTAGATCATCAGTTGCACTTGGATGCACGGCGTCCGGGATGCTCGTAGTTGAAGCAGCCGGCGTTGATGGTTCGCTGGCATGGCTGTTCCTGTTGGAACCTTTCCTGTCCCGCACTGACTGTAGATATCGAATGCAAATACCAAACACAATCTTGTACTCCTCTTCTCTGAAATTGACATACACGTGGTGTAAACGACTGAGGCAGGCCAGAAACTCAAGAATGTGGATCGAAACATGGGGTTGTGTGATGATAGTAGACATCTTGGTCAGCAGCTGAACCAGCGATTTGCTCGTTGAGAGCGGCAGTTCATGGCAGCATATAGACAGCGCGTGAATGCAGCACTTTGCACTTCGTTCCCAAGTGGCAATACCGTGCACAAAGGCCTTGACTATCTCGTCCTCTTCTCCCTTTTGAAAGTGATCATGATAACTTAGGATCATGGTCAGACTATGGAAAAGGCAAATTGCCACATCAGCCCGCCGCAAGCCTGACGAGTTGGGAGGTTCTTGGAAAGTGTTCGTTCTTATTTGCTCACAGATAAGTCTTCGAAGCTCTTGTATCTGCGGAATCGCGTCTCTAAAAATGGCATGGTTGCTCAGCTGTGAAGGAAGGTGCACAAGAGCAAAACTGTAAACCTCCCAGTCACTGCCATGTAAGAGGACCAGAACGGCCTCCAGCCAGTTTGCGATATCAAGAGCGGCAGTCCCAGCGCCACCTATTTGCTTTTCGATCTCTTCCTGTAGTTCTGGTTCTTCAGGGTCATGCTCTTCTGGCTCAGCTTCCACATTGGGTTGGTGGGAGACCAGAACAGGGCTGAAGACACCTGTGACAGATTCAGGCAGAGCTTCGGGGTCTGGGAGACTCCACAGCTGGTGATATCGAGCCGCACTGCCGGCACTTCCCACCAAGCCACTCCCGGCAGCGACACTAGCAGATCGCATTGGCACACCCCTTTCATGTTGCCCTTGACTGAACGAGACACCGCGAGCGGATCTGGATGACCCGCCATGCTCGTTCCGCAGCAAGCGTATGGACTGTGCGGCCTCTTCAGCCTGTTTCTTCGCGCGAGTCTCGGGGGTTCGACACAACGTAGGAGCGACAAAATTGGTCTCGAGGGTTTTTGTGATGAATATGCGATTGGCCCAGTCAGCACGTAGCCTAAACAGAAGCTTCATGGCAGTTAACCGCGCATCGACCTCGCAATGACTTGATTTCACGATATTGATTAACGCATGGTATAGTCTTAGAGACTTTTCGGTGTCGAAATCCATAGTCTGGACAAACATCTTGACATAGCCTTTCGCCACCACGTTTGAAGGGGATTGCTCCAGTGGCAGATTGTCATCGGAGATGGCATGAGCGAACAGGTTTGGAGATGCCGATGATGAGATTGGCGACTTCAGTCGGTCACCAATCACAATGCCCCTTAAGGCATCAACAATATAATCGAATAGCTCCATGTCACAGGATACCACAACCGAAACCATGAGCGACATGATGCCTTCCAGAACTATAACATCAGTTTCCTCGGCAACATCTTGAAGAATGCTTTTTGCCAGCTGAGGAATGAAGCTCTCGTCAGGATCATCACCCACTAGATCCACGACTTCATAAGCGTCCATTATTGTTTCCAATGCCCGAAGTCGAATCTGAGATGACCGGTCTCTATTGCCGAAGAAACCCTTGAGAACTAGAGTCAGATTCTCCTCCCATTGAAGGTCTGAGGGAGAGCAGCATCTGAACAGTTGGAAGTAGTTGAGAACTGACGAGGCCGTTTCGTCGGGGAGGAATTGGTGGACCTCGGTCAGGAAAGAAACTACGATCCCCCGCGGTACGAATACATCGGATTTCTGGTTGATAAGAACGTCGAGTCGCTGGATAAGAATACTGAGTTCTCGGTCCAGGGCCCCTTCAGGTTTGTCGTCTCTGACAGGGCTACGAAGGCCATCAGACTCATGGAGCCCAGGGATGGCTCGCTTGGAGCAAGTTGCGGCAGCCTCGAGTATTACTGACCAGTCCTCGTCGATTATCAAGCGATGTATGTTTCCTTCCCCGTCGTTAAATAGAGAGTTGAGGAGTTGGAGGATGGAAGTCAGAGTTTTGATAGAAGACCCAGTTCTTGCAATGATGGCAAGCCCATCGGCCAGCAACGCGAAAGGGATGCTTGGGTATCCATTCTCGGGGCTTTTGGAAAGGAGTTTCTGCAGTACAGCCAGAGCTCCGCGTATTTCCCTGTTGACGTCTTTCTCCTTGGCCCCATCTGCTGGACTATTTCGCAAGATATCCAAAAGAATGCGAACGGTGGCCTGGCCGTTGTGACTCTTGAACAAATTTGAAAGTGTGTTCCATGCATCCTTTTGAAGGCTGCCCACCATGCAATATATAGACCCGAGCACTTGCACACAACCTCTCAGCTTGTCTTCTGGGATGGAACCAAACGTCACAGTGGCATCAATAACCGCAATACTTGACCGGAGGTCTTCTTCCACGCTGGTGCTCATGCAGATTGCTAGCAACCGATCAATCAATCCTGATACGGCAGATGCGTCTGCATTGTTGAAGCTGAATTTGATGACGTCGACAAGAAAACTGAATAACTGAGCAAGATTCTTTTCTTCGCCTGGAGCCACAGAGCGATTTCGAGAGGGGCCTTTTGAAGTCTTGGACGCTTTCCTCCTGGCCATGCGTACCGAATTGTAGGATTCCCAAAGCCACTTGGTTAGCAAGGGTATGAGTTCGTAGTCGAAGCCCGTCAGAACACGACCCCGTCGAGTGAGGTCCACAAGAGCAGCCAATTGCAGATGAAAATCTTCGGAATTTGCAGGTGCTGACAGTGTCGTGAAGTACTCCTGGCGCTCGAGATCTGAAGAATCCTCATGTTTCACGCACTCGGTCAAGAGCTCCCAACCGGCAGTACGTGTTGCTGCGGGCTTTGCAGGATCGATCAGGTCCTTTGCGGCATACCAAATATCCAGAACAGGATTTAGAGGATACTCAGCGATTGCGTATTTCAGTGAATTGGCGGCAGTGATGCGTTCATTTGGAGAACCGTTCTTGAGCAGTTCGAAGGATTCCATATGACTGACAGACAGTCCGTGGGGTGGGTTCGCAGAAATGGCCGGAGGATGAGCATGAACGAACTCGGCAATCGGCAAGGTGGTTGTGGATGAAGGTGATGCTATAGACGGCGACGACTTGGAGAGCTTGGAACTTGTTAGACCCCGCAGAACATGGGCAAGGCCACCCTGACGGGACGTATCTGGGGATGATGGACCATCTCCTTGTTGCGGTGACATGTGCTCGTGTGAAGTTTCGTTGGGGTCTTGGTGACTAAGTGAGGCTAGACGGCGGAACATGTTAGCAAAGGAACTGAAGCCCGCGCACTAAAGACTGCGTCATCGATAAGGCAAAGCAGAACAGGTCGGTCGATCTGAAGCAGAAATGCAATGTGAATCAAGCAAGCGATTGACAAGAGGTTGGTGGGCACACAAAATATCGAAGAGCTCAGATGTTTAACAAGGCGGCCAGACAAGACAGAGCAAGCAAATGTCTTGGATCGATCGTATCGTGCGTATTGTAGGTGCGTGCGACAGACGGGACGGCGTCTCGGACGTAGTATGCAAATGCAAGGTAGGTAGTAGGTACGATATGGGTAGACGATAGGTACAGGCGAGTCTCACCAGCAAAACATGTGCTACCTAGGCCTAAGATGGGCCTGCGAGAGGTCGTCGATGTGTACGGTTTGAGTCGTTTTCATTAAATAATCAGTATGAGTAGAGTCGGCAGCGCAGCGCAAAAGAGGATATGCTTTGTCGATGTCAAATCAGGAAAACGAGTGTGACAATGATGATAGCGATAGGTAGGTCTAATCCAAAAAGCGCGGAGGTGGATGGAGGTCCGGTTCTGGGCGGGGTGGGCAGATCGGCAGGCTTAAAAAAAGACACGGGAGAGATGTAAAAAGCAATATTGTACGAGCCAGACCTGGTCCTAGTGCTATGAGGCGGTCGATCAATGATTGCGTGATAAGTACCAGCGCACAAAACAAGCAAAACGATGAATCTAGGTTAGACAACGTATGATGGACAAGCGGGAAAGAAAAGGCACGTTGCAAGAGAAGAGAGAAGGAGGTTGGAACTTTAGTAGAAGATCCAATGGCGGTTAGGTTCAATGTTAAGTCTACTATCCAACCCAACCCAGCTAAGTTAGACAGCACAACGAGAACGGCAGCTAGATGGATGCAGGGCAGATCGATTAAGCAGGCTCTCAACTAATAAAAGCTTCGTTTGCACCTTACATAAGCCAAGACGGCGTGGACAGATGACCCCTTGGTGACTTTTCAATGGTTGCTTTACAGAGAACACGCGAGCAGCCCAGGGATTTCATGTACGCCATGCCACCAAGCTGGAGGCGGTAAGGTACAAGAGGTCAATCGCGCCAATCCCAAACAATGGAAGCGGCCCTGAGGCCAGAGAAGGATAGCATCCTGTCTCTAAGGTACAGTGTACCTGCAGTATTGTGTTTGATCAAGGTTGTATCCGGGTACCTATGTTCTCGCTAATAAGCAAAGAGAGGAATGCCTAATACCAGGTAGTTGGGTGTCATTGTTTGACTTTATAACAAATCGATATGAGATATAAATCAAGTCTCAGACCGATAACATGCATTCTTTGTGTTTATTTATACTCTCCCACTCACTCGACTATGTATACGGACGGGTAATCGCAACCACTCAGGAACACCAACTTCTGCATCTCAACATTAGTGATTATAGAAACAGATGCGGTCAACATTATTTTACATCATTTTAATATCTTGAGATCTCGACTCCTATATACGCCTATCAAGGCCAAATCTCAAAGAGTCACCCAGTATACCTACTTCTCGCGAGTGCCAACTTGCTGTCATAACATGCATATCAAAGTCCCCAATATGCATTGCCAGGCTCTTTCAAGCCGAAATACTACCATCAAACAAAAAAAGGAAACCAAAAAGATGCATGTTCCTCCAAAATTTTTACTAAAAGTCTGCGCCTGAAGAAGCCCTATTTCTGGTGTTTGTATTTTCAGGGAAAGGCGTTGATGCAGTGACTCAGTCCCAGTTATGTAAACTGCAGTTACCTGCCCGTACTTCTGCATTTCGGCATCATTTCAACCTACCGTTGCGCGAAAAACAGCCAGTTATCAACTTAATATTACATTGATCCATCATGTTTACCAAATACGGGGCAATCTGCTGGGCAACCAGGCGGCCAGTAGCTTTTACTGGACGTTGTACAAGCAAAAAGCTATCCGTTAGCGGACTAAGCTCTGGAGTCTGCTAAAAACAGCTCTGTCGTGCCTGGAGGTAGCTCATTGCTACCACTTTCGAGGCCATCTATTGGGTCGTTGCCAACCAGCTAAACATGCCGTCAGTGGAGGTCCAGAAAAAAAATCCATAGTCGCCGACTGCGAGTTTGTTTGTTAGCTTTCTCAGCTACAACCTCCAGACCAATCCTTCCACATCACCACCGCTTCTTCTGTTCTTTCTTTTTTTTTTTCGTCTGTCTTCCACCCGTCCCTCCCTACAGCCTCTTCACCTCAGCACATTCCCATCATGGCAGCCGATATTGGTCAGATTGCTCAACTTCTTGACGCAACTCTTGATCCTACAGAGCATCGCAAAGGTACTTGATCTCGTCACTCCCCCATCGTTGCCCCGCGGTTTGGAAACTAATAAACAATCTTCACCAACAGCCGAGAATGCCCTCAAGCAGGAGGCTGCCAAGCCTCAGTACTCCCTCAGCCTCCTCAATATTGTCAACTCCGACACCCTACCACTAAAGACCCGACTCGCCGCCGCTTTGGCCTTTAAGAACTTCATCCGAACATCCTACGTGGTGCGTCTTGTCTCTCGAGCGATCGTTTTCGAAATGCTAAATCTTGAATCTTGGTATAGGACGAGGAGGGCAACTACAAGCTGCCTCAAGATGAGGTTCAAGTCATCAAGGAACGCCTGATTGGCCTCATGATTTCGTCACCGGCCAACATTCAGGCCCAGCTTGGTGATGCCATTAGTGTGATCGCAGATTCCGATTTTTGGCGACGATGGGATACCCTTACGCAGGTCGGTTACTGCCCCCCCCCATGCAGTTGTTTATCATATTTGCTGATCTCTTGTGCAGGAACTCGTCAGCCGATTTTCCGCCACCGATCCCAAGGTCAACGTTGGTGTTCTCGAAGTTGCACACTCCATCTTCGCCAGATGGAGACCCTTGTTCCGCACAGATGAGCTCTACATGGAGATCAACCATGTGATCGAGACATTTGGCCAAGCTTTCCTTGAGCTTCTCGTGGTAAGTTTCGATGCTCAGAACTAATAACTTCCTTGTACTTATGATTTTCTTTCGTACATTAGACAACCGACAAAAAGATTGCCGAGAACAACGATAATAAGGATGTGCTGCGCGGTTGGTTCGAGACTCTTGATCTGCAAATCAAAATCTTGCACGATATGTCTTGCCACGACTTACCTCCTATTTTCGACGAGAACCTAGGCAGCATCTCCGAACTTCTCCACAAGTATCTCACATATTCCAACCCATTGTTGGAGACCGACGACGATGACGAAACGAGCATAGTCGATACTGTTAAAGCCGATATTTGCGAGGTTCTCGAACTTTTTACTGTGAAGTTCGATGAGGACTTTTCCAAGTATTGTCAACCCTTCATTGAGAAGGCCTGGAACCTGCTGTCGTCTACTGGCCCAGAGACGAAGTACGACGTGATTGTCAGTAAGGCTCTGCATTTCCTGACTGCTATTGCGTCCTCCGCACAGCACTCTGGCATCTTTAACAATGAGGAGGTCTTGACCCAGATCGTGGAGAAGGTCATCCTACCCAACGTCGCGCTTCGCGAATCGGATATTGAATTGTTTGAGGATGAGCCAATTGAGTTCATCCGAAGGGATCTCGAGGGCTCTGATACCGACTCGCGACGACGATCTGCCACTGACTTTCTCCGCAAGCTTCAGGAGCGATTCGAAGCCCCTGTCACCACAGTAGTATCCAAATACATCAGTCACTATCTGTCGCAGGGTAGCAGCGATTGGAAGGCCAAGGATACTGCTATCTATCTATTCCTTTCCATTGCTGCCAAGGGCGCTGTGACTGCTGCTCAAGGTGTCAAGACAGTCAACCCTCTGGTCAACGTTGTCGACTTTTTTGAGCAGCATATTGCTCAGGATCTCATCAACTCACAGGGTGTAGAACATATCTCTAAGGTTGACGCCATCAAGTATCTCTACACTTTCCGAAGTCAGCTGTCCAAGGAGCAATGGAAGGTGGCTCTGGGTCCCCTGATTCAGAACCTGAACTCGGACAACTATGTTGTCTACTCATATGCCGCCATTGCAGTGGAACGTGTGCTGTTCCTTACGGATGATGCCGGCAATGCCATGTTTCCCCGTGCCGATATCGAGCCCTTTGCCAAGGACCTTCTTGGCCACCTCTTCAAGCTCATCGAGAAGGAGTCTAGTCCTGCTAAGTTACAGGAGAATGAATTCTTGATGCGCTGTGTCATGAGAATTCTAATTGTCATCAAGGACGGTGCCACTCCTCTGCTGGAGAATGTTTTGACCCATCTTATCCTCATTACCAATGTCATGAAGCAGAACCCCAGCAACCCTCGGTTCTACTACTATCATTTCGAGGCCATTGGCGCCCTTGTCCGATACTGTGCTCCCAGCAATGCTGCTCTTTTCAACGAGAAGCTGTGGAGCCCCTTCCACCAAATCTTGGTCGAAGATGTCACGGGTGAGCTGAAGCAGCCGCATGCCAACCCATAACTTGCTAATATGTTCTCAGAATTCATGCAGTATGTTTTCCAGATCCTCGCTCAGCTATTGGAGTCCAGCCCATCTGAGACCATTTCGGACAACTACAAGGCTCTGTTAGGCCCTCTTTTGAGCCCTACTCTTTGGGAAACCCGAGGCAATGTTCCGGCATGCACTCGTCTCCTGTCCGCCGTCATCCCTCGGGCATCCCAGGCTATTCAAGCTGAAAACCAACTGGAGCCTGTTCTTGGCATTTTCCAGAGACTTCTGAACTTAAAGAAGTCTGAGTTGCTCGCCTTCGACATCCTCGATTCCATTGTCAAGACTTTTGAGCCGTAAGTCCCAAGTCTATACCCCATTATACAATTACTAACATCCCATCAAGTACTGGATTGGAGCAGTACTTTGCCACAATTCTTCGGCTGATCTACACCAAGCTTCAAGGTTCTCCCTCCGATGCGTTCAAGCTCCGCTTTGCTCGCTTCTACCACCTAGTGTCGGCTCGCCTTGAGGCGGGTTACGGTGCTGACTACTTCATCAAGCAGTC